GCAGTTCAAGCCCTGTGGCTCAAGTGGTAGAGTGCTAGCCTTGAGCTGAAGAGCTGAGGGACAGCGCCCAGGCCCAGAGTTCAAGCCCCATGACTGACCAAAAAAAAAAAAGAATTAATATTGGCAAACATACACATGATGTAAATTAACAAAGATAAATTAACCTGGATATTTTGAGAAACCAAGTAATGATAGTAATGAATTGGAATTCAGAATATAAAATAGCAATCCATGACTTGATAGTGATGTAAATGGTGGGAAAAGAAATGGGTAGATTTTACTTAAAGCAGCATTCTGACAAGAAATGAAGGAATCAGAAAACTGTCACTTAGTTCCACCGCAATAAATATAAAAATACAGTAACAGTGGGCTGGGAAGGTGGCTCAGTGGTAGAGCGCTTGCCTTGCATGCATGAGGCCCTGGGTTCGATTCCTCAGCACCACATAAGCAAAAAGCCGGAAGTGGCGCTGTGGCTCAAGTGGTAGAGTGTTAGCCTTGAGCTGAAGAGCTGAGGGACAGCGTCCAGGCCCAGAGTTTAGGCCCCACAAACGGACCCAAAAAAAAATAAAAAAAAAAATACAGGAACAGTAAAATGTGTTTTCTTGATGTTTAAATATTTTCCCCATCTTTTCCTTTCCCTTGTAAGCAAAATATAACTAGTTTCCTGGAAAGATAAAGATTTTAACAATTTTTTAATTGGAATGCTGAATCTATTTTCATGTAGTTATTTGTTTACAACTATATATTTTAAATTTGTCCTACCTGTTCCATATTTTTTGTTTCTACTAGTTGCTTTTAAATAAAATGCCAACTTCATATGCAGCCTGCACACTCTGAACTTATTTGCCTATCATTTTTGTTCTATCTCAATACTACCTGATATATTTAGTAATTTGTGTTTATTCTAAGTAAGTACAATAAATCATAATAATCACCATAAATCATCATCATAGGATAAATCATCATAAATAGGAAATAAAACATTAAACTAAAACTTAAAAAGAATTCATGTGCTAACTTTTGGAAATATTTTTAAATTCCCTAAGTCCTGGCCAAGATTTAGAGCTACGATACCCTAAATGGTAGCTAAAACTCAATTTCTGTCATAATTTAAGTGTTAGTACCAATCACACAAAGTTCCTTGCTATCGTATTAGGCAGGGTACTTACAGAACATTTCCAATACTGGTTCTAGATCTTCTCTTTAGCATCACTCACATCTAATGTGTAACAATACTTGTATTTCAGTCTTACAATGTATCAAAGCTCAGGTTTTTGCATATTCCAAGCAATCTGCTTGAAATGCTCTTACCTGATAGTTAACTGATTTCACTTTCTCAATCTCAGCTCATTCACAAGACCATCAGTGCTTGAAAATAGTTCCCTACTGACAACCTCCATGCCATCACAAGGACTGCAATTTGAAATTTTACTCAGCATCTGTTTACTTCCTATCTATACCTAAGCTGTTCAAAGTGATGGAGTCCACAAAAATGTATATCAAGGCAACATGATAGAAAATTTAAACTTAAAGAGATAATCTCAATTCAGTGGTAAATTGTGTCTAGAAAGTCATGTAGAAAGTTACTTACCAAACTTTTTTTTTTTTTTTTTGGTCAGTTGTGGGGCTAGAACTCAGGGTATGGGCACTATTCCTGAGCTCTTTTTGTTCAAGGAGATCTACCACTTGGAGCCACAGCACCACTTCCTGTTTTCTGATGGTTAACTGGAGATAAGAGTCTCACAGCTTTTCCTGCCCAGGCTGGCTTCAAATAGTGACCTTCAGATCTCAGCCTCCTCAGTAGCTAGGATTAAAGGCATAAGCCACCAGCGCTTGGCACCAAAACTTTTAAGCTTTCAAAATACTTAGTCAAATGGAAAGATTAATGAAACTACTGAATAATGGAAATTTATTAAAGACTTTTGAAAGGGAAAATTAAGGCAAATCCAAGTTTAAATTCGAACAGTATCTTAAAAGAGCTAGATCACTTCTTTCAGAAAATCAACAGAAGGAAATACTTTGTAGAATGGGAGAGGTTCATATACCTTTTCAATGTATACACATTCACAGAAAAAAATTACAGCTATGTATATGAATACATATGTAAGTATGTATTCATATACATACTTACATATTCAAGTATGCATTCATATACATACTTATTCATATACATACATATGAATACATATGTAAGTAGGTAAATATGCATACACATAAACACAGATCCACCCTTTTTTCCTATGCTGACTTGAATCCAGACCCTTATATATGTTAAACAAGTACTCTATCTCTAGCCTCATGAATCTCTTAAAATTGCAAGCTACAGTTTAGTTAGTAGCTCTTTACTCTGAGATTTAAGAGCATCATTAACAACTGTTACTTTATACTTTATCTTTACTTAAAATTGTAAGGAACAGGCTGGGCACTGATGGCTCATGTCTGTAATCCTAGCTACTCAGAAGGCTGAGATCTGAGGAGCACAGTTCAAAGCCTGCCTGGGCAAGAAAGTCCATGAGACTCTTATCTCCAATAAACTACTCAGAAAACCAGAAGCAGTGCTGTGGCTCAAGCGGTAGAGCACTAGCCTTGAGCACAAAGAGACTCAAGGGATAGTGCCTAGGCCCTGAGTTCAAGCTCCAGGACCAGCAAAAAACAAAAACAAACAAACAAAAAAAACCTGAAAAAACAACTGTAAGGAACAAAGTAGGATATTTTGCTGATGCCATAAATGTTCAAGTTGACAAGGAAAAACCACAAAATTCTAACCAAGTCATGAGGAAGATAGAGAAGATAACCTGTATCAAAGTAAACCTGTATCAGATAACCTGCTCAGAGTAAAGAGAAGTTACAGGTCAGACTTTTTAACATATTATTAAATTACTAGTTAGACATACTTACAAAGTTCTGTGAAATAAACATTTGTTCTTAACAGTACTTTACTAAACAATGAGGGCTGCAAAAATAAATCAAACATTTGACTGCTATCTAATTGTGTCAACGTTCATTTATTTTGGATTGCAGAAATACTTCTGCTCCTTCTCTATTTACAACTTCAATCCAGTTTTACAATTATAATGAACAGGCAAACTTATGAGACAAAAGACCTTCAAGTGTACTAGCAAATACTTTATAGACTAGGCAATTTTCAGACATACTGATTTGCTGGAGACTTTATGGCTTGAGTTTTAATGAAAAACTCAATCTAAAGATTTGCTTTAGAACTTTAATATAGGGTAATATTGAGGTTTAAAACCAAAGCAGTGAAGCTGGGTGCTGGTAGCTCACAACTATCCTAGCTATTTGGATCCTGACTATTTGGGATATTACAAGGCTAGCCCAGGCACAAAGTGCATTTTTTCTCAATGGGAATCTTGACATGGTGGTGACTGGGTTAAATTTATGAATTTCTGGAATTTACCTGTTTCTCATTAGTCTGTTTCTCACTTTCAGTAAAAAGCAAAAGAATACTCTCCCTTACTCAAGTTTGCCACACTAGCAGCTTTGTCTATCACTAACAACTTTGTGGTTTACCACAGACTGTGCTAAGTTGCTAACAAGACTAATGCTACTAAACAGGCTTCTAGAACTGTATTTTTGTAATCAATTTGTAATTTTTGTTTCTTAACAGATTGTAAATGCCTGTGTGTGGCCAACTATTTTACAACTCTCTCTTGAAGGAAAGGGTATTAGTTCCTCTTTTCCAAGGGGCCCAAAGTCCCATTTTGTTCTTCTAAACACTGAATGTCTTAGTACTTTCCAACATTACCCACTCCTCCTGCCCCTTTCCAGGTATATCAGCCTGATCTCAGCTCTAATCAGAGCTCAGTCTTTGGGAATCATCCACTGTGCAGCCCACCAGTATAAACAAAGTACCTTCTACTTTGTCCCCTCGCCCCACATACAGTGGTGCCAGAAACTGTCATCCCAGCAATGGCAGGAAGCCTGACATATGTGACTCCCCCACGGAGTAGACTCCAGCTAAAAGTAACCAGAAAAAAAGACAAACACAGATGTGTATCCGGAATAAGAGTGTCTAAATAATTAGTAAGCCCCAGAGTTCAAGCCCCAATGTCATCTAAAAATAAAAAAATAAAAGGAGAGAATTCTATATATCCTATAAAATTAATAAGAGTAAGGTAAGAAGTGGGTAGAGGAGGAATAGGTGAGAATGTTGAAAGGGGTGACAGTGATCAAGATATATTGTATTCAAAAACTGGTTTGCTAACTGGCACCTCCTTTGTATAACTACTTAAATAATAAAAATAACATAACCGAGACTTAATTATCCCTGGGAACATGAAGCTCTGAATACTTAGGCCAAGTGAACAATGAAAAAAAAAATGAACAAAAAAATTAAAATTAAAATTAAAAAAAAAATGCAACAGGTGCTAGGAAGGTAGCTCAGTGGTAGAGTGCTTGCCTTGAGCTGAAGAGCTGAGGGACAGCGCTCAGGCTGAGTTCAGGCCCCACTACCGGCAAAAAAAAAAAGCAACAGATTTAACTACATGGTATAAATAATTTGGAAAAATTCTCCAAAGTTAGTGGACAAGAGGAACCATTATGGATACAACATGTTCTAAGACTCTGTTTTATATTTAATGTTTTTCAGATTTTATATCTTTATGCTACAGAAAACAGTATTCTCCTCTATAATCAGAAATGTTTCTTAAAGGGCATTCAGTTTCCAAGATCATAATTTTCTTTCTTTTTTATTCAAAATATTTAGGAAAAGGACAACAGGAAAATTTAATTACTTTTTTTCTCCTACTTGCTATTTTCTTATACATGCTTTCAAAGTCATTAGAAAATAAATTATTTCCTTTACTAGATATCATGTACAAATTTGCTGTATAATAAATGTTTCTTGAAATGAACACAATTTTATACCAGTGTCATTATGTAACCTTTAAGAGAGGAAAATTTAAAATTAAAGATTGGTAACATAGGCTTACAGTTTTAACAAAAACCTGTGAAAGGCCATGATCAAATTAAAAATTTTGACTGGTTTCCTTTACTTCTCCTACTCCTTTTATTACTATTTGGCTTACAAGTTGTACAGCTTGTAGTCAATTTCAAATCTGCTTAAAGAATCTACTTCATAAGTTAAATGGGTACAAAGAACAAAGAAAATATTCTGCAACTTTAAAACAATTACATAGTATAACATGGAGGCAAGTTGAATATAACTAAAGGCAATACAGCAGTGAAAAATGTAAAGGTAGCATTTCAATATTAAATAGGTTTGCTAAGTCTTGGTTTGTTTCAGGAATCACTGAGCTGTACTTCAAGTATCTCTCAACTTGTATTACACTGTTCCATCAGCTGTCCAGTAAGAATACAGCAGGAAAACATCTGAAGTATGAAACTAGTGATGATAATGCGTGTTTTAGAATATCAGGAATATGGTTACTAAAGGTAAAGAAAATCAAGAACAAGAAAAAGAGAGGTACATTTATTAAAAATAAAAATAGTACATAGTCTCTGATGAACAACCAGACAAAAAACCCATTCAGAATCCAAAGATATCCAATATACACTGTAAGAATGTACACACATTAAAAAAAAAAAAAACAAAGACCCATGTTTTTAGAACTTTTAAAAGGAGAAAAAAATCTGGATTTCTCCTGATGGGGATTTGCCTAAATACACTATGCTAGACGAACATTCCCTTCCGAATGTTCCATATAATATGGTGCTGTACAATGTGTGCAGTTACTTTGATGAACACCTTGCTTCTGAATAAAATCAGTTTCTGTAAGGATGATCCAGAATATAAATCAGTGGTTCCATTTCATAAAAAATATTCACAAGCTGGAAGAGCGGTGACAACCAATTTCCAAAATCTTCAGCTTTCACAAAAGGTACAGACTAAACTACTAAATTTAGATGCTTTCACATTATTTTGCATGAGTATCAATTGCTGTATAAAAATCATTGTAAATCTTAAGTTGGTCAAAACTAGTGTCTCTACAGATCAAAGTTCTTCACCCTTAACATGGCTGATAAGACTTTTCTGCCTTTGTCACTAATAATCTTTTTCAAATCAAAGAGCTCTGAAAAAAAATGCACTGTACAAGGAAGACAATACCACAAACATCATACTGAACTTCGGTCTTTAAGATACACACAGTTCCTGTGGGATATTGGACTGTGCCAGTTTATTATCTTCAGCCTTTTCTTGTCCAGGGACGTGACAAGTAGTCTTCCGCTTAAATAACCGAAGACTCAACCGCAGTAATTCATTGTCTACCACTGGAGCATTTGTATAAGCTTGCTTTACTGTACCCTATTTGGAGAAACAAAAATGAGCAAGAAAAGATGTATTATTAGTTGACAGTGGATAAAACAAGTGGACTGTCACTAAAATTATCAAAGCTATAAAACACTTCTAATGATAACTTGATGAGAATTCTTATAATTGTCAGATACATGATAAATATCAGCTTATTTTGTGCTTTTACTGTGTTGACTGATATAATCATGTATTTTTTTCTTCTTTAATCAGTCAATAAGTGTGTTACTTCAAGTAAGTTCAGTATACTGAGGTACTTTCTCATTCTCGTATTTGGTTATGTATTTATATATTGCTATATATTTATACATTCACTTTTATAAATTGCTAGATTTGATTTCTTAATACTTTTGAGGATTTTTATGTCCATCTTCATAAGAGATGATGATCTATAATGTTCTCGCATGATCTGTTTGTAATACCAGACTCATGAACTGAGTTGGAAACACTTCTGTTGTGTAGAACTGGTGTTATTTCTACTTTCAGTGTTTGGTAACTTTGCTAATGGAACAATGTTAGAACTGAAGGTTCCTCTTTCATAAAATTTCAAACTAAAAATCCAACTTCAAAAAGTAGATATAGCGCTAGGCGCTGGCGGCTCATGCCTGTAAGCCTAACTACTCAGGAGGCTAAGATCTGAGGATAGCAGCTCGAAGCCAGCCTGGGCAGGAAACTGTGAGACTCTTATCTCCAATTAACCACCAGAAAACTGGAAGCAGAGCTATGGTTTTAAGTGGTAGAGCACCAGGATTCAGCAAAAGAGCTTAGGGACAGCACCCAGGCTTTGAGTTCAAGCCCCAGGACTGACCAAAAAAAAAAAAAAAAGATATAGAACCTTTTAGGGGCCTGGCACTGGTGGCTCATACCTGTAATCCTAGCTACTCAGGAGTCTGAGATCTGATGATTACAGTTCAAAGCCAGCCCAGGCAGGAAAGTCCGTAAGACTTGTCTCCAATAAACCACACAGAAAACAGGAAGTGGCTCTGTGGCTCAAGTGGCAGAGTGCTAGCCTTGAGCTAAAGAACTGAGGGACAATGCCCAGGCCCAAAGTTCAACCCCATGACTGATCAAAAAAAAAAAACCTTTTAGGTTTTACATTATTACTTTTATATTTCTGATAGTCTGTGACTTTAAAGGGCTCTAAAGCTTTAACACATTCAACCCATTTCCTCTAAATTATCGAATTATTATGTGTACAAATTTATTCACAGTATCCCTTTATTGATGTTGATATTTTTTTTCACCACTAGAAACTGAACTGTACCACTGAACCATATCATCTGCCCCCTTATACTTCTAAAATGTGTAGAATACACAGTAATACCTCTACTTTCATTCCCAATAATGATCATTGATGTTTTTCTTTTTTTTTTTTTGTCAATAGTGGCTAGGAGATTATCAATTTTATTCATTTCTTTGAAGAATCAACTTTAGGTTTTACTAGTATGCTCTATTTTTAAAATTTTTAATTTAATCCATTTCTACTATTATTGCTATACAATCTATATATTGTTTTTAAATGATATTTAAAATAATTTATGATGGCTGTGTTCTTTTCGTATCCTCTACCTAAATTCTCTGAAATACATGGTAGTTTTTATATACTTAACATACACAAGTTAAATGCTTCTGTTTTTCTTAACATTTTTCGCAAGGCTATCTAGCATATAAAATTCTTCTTATTTCCTTTTCTACTCACTCATTCACTCACTGTGTATCTCTCACCCTATGCAAACATGTAATACCATACCTGGTTTGTGCTGATATTTTTAACAGAGTAATCTGAAATTTGAAAATTCTTTTTATAGCATATTTATAATGTGCCATTAAAACTTCTAATAACGTGCTTCACACTGTGTTGTCTGTATCGTTAATTTCTTTGATGTTGTATGTGTGTGTGCAGGTGCACACACATACACATGCATGCATGTCTTATACTGAAGGGTTAGAAAGTTCTGAACATTGTAAGGAGTGCTCTTGGTTATTACAATTTTTGAGGAACATTATCGTATGTCACAGGAGGAACCTACGAAGATTAAAAAGTACTTTTTATACAAAAGAGGCAGGATTCTGATAAGATTATAAACTTTCTTAACTGGCATTTCTTATCTGAACCAAACAGAAAATGGTTTAAGTGATATTTTCAATTTAATACTAAAAATAGTGATAACATATTTCTAACATACAGAGAAGGTAACTGATTACACACATGCCCAGGGCATGGGGGCTCAATCCACTCAGAGAAAGGTGGAATTGAGGAATGCTGCAATGGATACACAGACAAAAGAATAAGGAGATATTAAGTGCATGCTCGAAGGAGAATGATTAAAGAAGTTCTGTCCAAAGTAATTCTGACAAAGCACTGAATTCAAATTCTAGCACTGCCCCAACAAAAGTTGATAAAAATTTTAAAGAAAAAAAGCTGTAGAAAAATCTTACTACTTAAAAAGTTACTAAGTTTATGTCTGTCTGTCTGTCTGTCTGCCTGCCTGCCTTCCTTCCTTCCTTCTCTTTCTTTCTTGGGCACTGCCTTTGAGCTTTTTTACTCATGGCTAGTGCTCTATCACTTTGAGCTATAGCACCACTTCCAGTTTTCTGGTATTCAAGTGGAGATAAGGAGTCTCATACAACTTACCTGCCCAGGCTGGCTTCAAACTGTGATACTCAGATCTCAGTCTCTTGAGTAGCTAGGATTATAAGTGTGAGCAACCAGTGCCAGTCATGGGGCCTGAACTTTGGGCCTGGGTGCTGTCCCTCAGCTCTTCAGCTCAAGGCTAGCACTCTACCACTTGAGCCACAGTGCCACTTCTGGCTTTTTCTGCTTATGTGGTGCTGAGGAATAGAACCCAGGGCCTCATGCATGCAAGGCAAGCACTCTTCCACTGAGCCACCTTCCCAGTCCCTTTTTCTAATTTTTTAAAACCAACTTTCTTTTGTCACACTATGCATGCTTGCCACATTCTAAAATTAAACTCTGTTTTCTAACTTTAACAGCCTAAGATGTTTTCAATTTCTTAAAAGATACTTTTCAAAGCTAGACTAATTTATATTTCTCTTAGTTGTCAACTGTCTATTCTCCAGTAGCTGCTTATGTATATTCCCTTTAATTAATTTACCTCTCCTCCACCTTGGTGCATGAACACTATTCCTATAACCATCCTCACCACTCTATCTGAAATTGTTTTTTCTTGGTCTTCAATGTAGATAAATTTCCAATGTTTACTTATCTAAAAAAGCTTTTTCACAAATGTAAAAGCTTTCACAGAATGAATATTTAAAACTTTTTGCATGAAATTTTGAATAATTGTCATTCAAAATACCCATTCATCAATACTGAAGTGAAAAAATGTATTATAAATTTTAATATAATTCTTTCTTTACATGTCCAAAAGACTAGAAACCAAATTCAAAAAAGTGGGTCAGACTATAACTTCTCTTTTTCAAGCACTCAAATGTAAAAAAAAGTGCCATTTGTGTTCTGCACTTTGCATTTTTTCTCAAGGAAACAACAGTACCTTCTCATTCTTAACAAGCTGCTTTCGGATTGCAGAATCCCGCCTGAAGCACAGGGCTTTACAACAGGGTCCAAGATTGCTGAGAAGACTTGCTCTTTCTTCTTTTCGTAGTAATGCAGCCATATTGAGAGCCCCCAGTTCATGTTCAAAAAGATTCTCTGCATCTTTCAATACAAAAAGCGTATTTTAAGTTTTCTTAAAATGGAAAGTGTTATCAACAACTCAAATGAATATTTCATGATTTTATCCTTTATTGAAGTTAGTAATATTGGTGAAAATTATTTTATATTTAAGGTGACATTCTCTGTGAAAGGCTGTCAACATATAGTTATGTTGCTAGCTTTAAATAAATATTCTGATAACAACTTTAGTTTTAAGATATAAGAAAAGCAGACTTTGGAGATAGAATGTAGACATTGATTACTGGGAAGTTTGAGAAGAATTACAGAAATTAAATTCAGTATGTTCTTTACCATCTATTACTACAAGTTCTAAATTTTAGAACTTTATTATATAGAAAGACATGATGTCGCCCAGCGCCAGTGGCTTACGCCTATAATCCTAGCTGCTCAGAAAGCTGAGTATCATGGTTCAAAGCCAGCTGGGCAGGAATGTCCAATTAACCACCAGAAAACTGGAAGTGGTGCTGTGGCTCAAGTGGTAGAGTGCTTGCCTTGAGCTAAAGAGCTCAGGGACAGCACCCAGGCTCAGAGTTCAAGACCCACAACCACCAACACCAATAACAAAAAAGACATGATGTCATATATGTAAATATAATATAACGTAATAAAACTCAAGACAGTGCCCACTACAAATTAGTTAGATAGAAAAGTGATTAAGTTGTTGGGCAATCTTTAAGTTAGAAAAAACATTTACAAGGTTGCAAAAAATTGATGAACTGAGAAAAGATTTGATTAATTGAAGTAAACTGGGTTAAAAAATATACCAAGGAAGTAAAAATAACACAGTACCAATCAGTAATCCAAATAAATAATTACAAGTTATAGAGTAATACAGGCCACAAACACTGTCTCTATTCATACACTGAGATCAAACAGATTACTGTTAGAAATAAAACTAGTGAATAGCATCTATCTAAAAATAAACACCTTTGATTAAGAGGAAACAAGGCTACATTACGTAATTCATTTGAATTTTCTGGACTATAAAGCATAATTAATGAGAATAGGTACTTAACAAGAAACTAGTTTCATGCAAGTCATCTAGTCAATAGGTATATAACAAGTGTAAATATAAATTCCAATGTAGTCCCCAAACTCTGAAGCCATTTGAATCATCTGAGGAACTTTTATGAATGCATCCCACCTACAGAATGAGAATCATCACGGTTGGACTGGGATACCTTAAGAAAGGCAGCTGCTCCTCAGGTGATTCACTACTGTTTGAGAGCACCATCATTAAGTATAGACATAACTGAAAATATACATATAGTAAATAGAATTTACACTGAACATTGGCCCTTGAAAATTGTTATGAAAATATTCTTTTTATTGGCATCCTGGCTTTCTGTATTTATAGCAGCAGGACACAAAATACTACTTTTTTCAGGAAGCCTTTAAAACTCCTGAGAGCACATGACTACATTTTCATTCTGTCCCCCCGCTCCTGGTTGTGGGGCTTGAACTTTGGGCCTGGCACTGTCCCTAAGCTCCTCAGCTCAAGGTGAGCACACTACCACTTGAACCACAGTACCACTTCCAGTTTTCTGGTGGTTAATTGAAGATAAAAGTTTCACAGACTTTCCTGCCTAGACTGGCTTTGAACTGTGATCCTCAGATCTTAGCCTCTTGATTAGCTAGGATTGCAGGCCTAAGCTACCAGTGCCTCAATAAATTTACATTCTTTTTATAGTTTTGAGATTACCAGCAACAAATTACTCAAAAGACAGACTAATTACATACTTAAGATTAAGTAAAACAGGGGCTGGGAAGGTGGCTCATTGGTAGTGTTTGCCTTGCATACATGAGGCCTTGGGTTTGATTCTTCATTACCACATACGCAGAAAAAGCTGGAAGTGGTGCTGTGGTTCAAGTGGTAGAGCGCCAGCCTTGAGCTAAAGAGCTGAGGGACAGTGCCCAGGCCCAGAGTTCAGGCCCCACGACCAACAAAAATAAAATAAAATAAAAGAATGAATAAATAAATAAATAAGAGTAAGTAAAACAATGGATATACTATAATCAGTAAAGTTTAGCTCAAAAGAACATATCTGTAGTTCAATGAATAAAACCTAGAGAAAAGCAATTTAAATCCTACTATACATATGGTTTTATTTTAAGCTTAGTTGGCTTTTTTAATTTAAAATAAAATTACATATGGTATGAAGGTACACTGTCATTAGTATTGGGCCACCAGCATAGATCAATGGAATACAAACCAGTTATCAATAATGCACACTTACTGAATATCTACCATCTGTCAGGCACTGATGTAGGCAATGGCATAATTTGTATGAATAGATAATTAGACATTGGATATGGAAATAAACAAAACAAAGTACTATTCTAGATGATTCATATTCAGCATCATTTATCAGTTCTTTAATACAGCCACCACAGCCTTAAATAGGAAAGGTTTGTTAAGCAACAATCAGATCCTTTTTTTACTTAGATTGTCTCATGTCTTAAGACTTATGTCATCATTAAGCAAGTGTCAAATTTTATTTCATAATTAGCAAAATCACAGTAGATTGTAATTTGAAATGCCATTAGCAAAAGTCACAGAACAAAAATAGCTTTAGAGGTGGTTAACATCTTTAGGGTTTCATTCCCTCAATTTACAGATAAAACTGAGGTCCATGAGAAATTATTTCCTTAGATGTACTGATAAAACCAAAGTAGAAAGAATGGGGCAAGCACCAAAGTCTTTGGCCATTATTCGGGTTACTAAATGTTCACACAATTATTCTGTTTAGATATTTCATATATATAGTTTATTGGACCCATTGAAGTAAGAATTTTGCTGCTTATGTTGACAGGTGAAAGGATATGGATTCATAAGTTGTATATTTTTCCATTTTATATTAATAATTTTACATTAGTAAAAAATCTATTTTTGTTTCCATTCTGTAGAGTGGGATGGCTTTAAGTTCAGTGTTTTCCTAATTTAGCCTGGGATTATAGCATGTGCCACCATGCCTGAACAAACCTAATTTGCATTTAACTATAAACTTTTATACTTTTATACTTTTTTTTTTTAATGTAGTTTTACTTTTTACCTTCCTTTCCTTGTTTTTACCATGTACTTGGCCTTTCCTTGTTAATAAAAGTATTGGAGATGACAGCTAAGATAAACAACAAAAATCAAATGAAGTGAAGACAATAAGATAAAAAGCCAATGTGATAAAGTATTTTCAGACTCAATAGTAGCAGTTAATATTTGCTCTGCTGTTCTAGTGTTCAAGTGAGTTATTGGTCATGCTATTCCTTACAACACTTCAGGAAGTGAGAAGTATAATCATCCCAACTACAGATGATCATGTGAAGAGATCAGATAATAGGTAGTATGGTATGCCTATTGGAACCCTGACCATTTGGCCTTATGGACCAACCTGAAGTACGTTATTAAAGCTCAACCTACACTTCTACATTTGGGAAGAATTCTCCACTTCCACATGAAAGGGCTACCAAGATATCTAATTTTCTTAAGTTCTGCTTTGTTTAGCAATGAGCAAACCATTGTGTATTTTAACATTTGGACCTGTGTGTTAAACAGAATCTTTCTATCCTTTTTTTTTGTATTAGAGTGGATCCCAGAGCCCTGTGCATACAAAGCACATGCTTTATTATGAAAAGCTGTACCTGCGCTCAGCTCCAAAAGTAACTGTAGCTGAGCACCAGTGGTTCACACCTATAATCCTAGCTACTCAGGAGACTGAGATCTGATGATCATGGTTCAAAGCTAGCCTGGGCAGGAAAGTCCGTGAGACTCTTTATCTCCAATTAATCACAGAAATAAAGCTGACGTAGGGCCTTGGCTCAAGTAGTAGAGCACTAGCTTTGAGCAAAAGGAGCCCAGGGACAGCACCCAGGTGCAGAATTCAAGCCCCCGGACTGACAAAAAAAAAAAAAGTAATTGCAATATAAAGTCCATTTTATCATTTTTGCAACTTGTCTGTGCAATTAGAACTTTCTCAAGATAAATTTAAGAAATTCTGATCATGGGTAAGAAATGATAAATATGAAAGTCTTCAAAAAGCACTTCATATAGTATAAAGTACTATATAACAACCAAACAGAACTCTTCTCAAAGTACAGAACGTTAAAATGGAATTACCTTTAGGTTTCTCTAGAACTCTCTGACATGTTTCTTTGACTTTAGTAAACAGCTCAGAACCTGCCAACTTTTTAGAAATCCCAACTCTCAGCAAAACAGCTCCAGGTGTGAATTTTAAGAGTGCAGCCCCAGGCTCTCGTGGTTCTTTTGGATGCTTTGGCATAAGACCAGACCAATCGACATCTATCACATCTAAGGGATCTGTCAAAAGTGAAATAGGATTATATTTTGCATCAAAAAATAGTAGTCTCATCTCTAGACAAATATAGTTGTTCCTCTAGTTTCAGGGATTGCACATCCATGGATCTGACCAACCACAGATTAAAAATAAAAGAAGTTTGTAGTGAACATGTATAGTTTTTTTTCTCATCATTTTCCACTAAATAATATAGTTTGACAACTCTTTCCATAGAAGAATTTATAGTGTAATGGGGATTACAAGTAAGTGAAGTATTCTGAAGGTTGTGCATACACTATATTCTGATAGTAAGTCACTTCATATTTATATATACTTTGGTATCTGTAAGAATCCTGGAGCCAATCTCCCATGATTTTATTACCCAGAGTGACTTTGTGCTAATTAAAACACAATTAAACCATAAAAGCTTTCATAAAAACTAATACTTAGAATCTAAAAACCCTTACAAATAAAAAAATCTTCCCACTAAAGGAAAACAGGTTAAGCTAACCCATACCTATAAAATAACGCCTTTAGCTTACATGAAAGACTCTCAGAAGGTCTCCATTATTTCACAAAAATTAAATGTGATGTTTTGAAACTTGGTACCAGAACTCTACTTTAACCCTCACCTAAGGGTTAGGAGACTATCTGGTTTGCATATCTGCACACACATATATAAACAAGTAACTCATTATGATTTTCCTTTAAGAACTTGATACTATGAGCAAATAATCTATTGAGAATGAATACTTAAATATATATTTCTATTCACAAATTCCTACTACCAGAAAAGGACAAAGAAAAAAAATCACACATAACTTGTACATTAGAAGAAAATGTAAAACCTAAGAGAATTTTTTAAAAAATTAGTAATATTTTACATATCCAGACCAAGCAAAGATCCTCACTAAAAAGAAAATATAAATCAATAAAATGTCAAAGGGTGGTACTAGAAGTGACCAGAAGTAAATACAATTTCTGAATTTACAGAATTAGGGGAAATAGTGTTGAAATAAGATATAAGCTACCATAATTTCTGAATAGCTATTTAAAAAGTTGGCTTGTGGCACAAAAGCTCAGGACAGTGCTTAGGCCCGAGGACAAGCCCTACAGAATCAGTTCAAAAAAAAAAAAAAAAAAGCTAGCTTCTAGCACCACAGTTGTGAAGCACTGCACCTACTATCTACATACATGTCAAACACGAGTAGGAAATCAGTATTTGGTCAGATTCCAGGTCATATATTATGTTATATCAACACTGACAGCATAAGAGGGAACAAAGGCTACAGGTATTCTGAATGTTCAACCACCATTACAAACCATTACCTGGCATCTTCTCCTCATCCTGCTGGTCTTCTCTCTTTTCTGCATCACCAGCCAGAATTTCATCTAGTTCATCATCACTGATTGGCTCATACCCTTCTCCAGCACCAGATCCTAATGAATGTGCATCATCTAACTTGGAATCGTCATCTCCTGCTAAACAGACATCAACTTCATGTCAAAGAAAGCATTACAATGGATGCCTACATCAAACCAAAAGAGAGAAGCTGTGCACATTACAACAATGTAAAAATGATTATTTTCATCAGAAAATTACATTTAGTCAAATGTGATAATTCTAAGGAAAAAAAACCTCAAAACATATTTAATTTGCTAAATTTCTTTTCTAATATATTTGTTGATAAAGTACACTTTAATAGTTGACAATAAAACTTTAACATTCAGAAAAATCTAACTTCAAAGGCTTCAACAATTTCTTTGCTGAAACATACAAATCTTGTAAATCTATTCTGAGTGTATTTTAAACTTAAATCTTAAGTTTATGAAGAACTTGCTATGAATAAAGTAAAATGTAAAAATGCCATTACTTTTCCCCCTACCTCCCAATTCCTCTTCTCCACTGGGATATTTTCTTTTAAATGATGAATTCAATTGTTAGAAAAATGTTATAATACACTTAAAAAGTACTTTCAGCTGAGTGTCAGTGGCTTACCTTTTAATCTTAGCTATTCAGGAGGCTGAGATTGGAGGATCCACATTCAAAGGATCCATGTTCAAAGCCAGCCCAAACAGGAAACTCCATGAGACTCTTATCTTTAATTAACTACCAAAAAAGCCAAAAGTGGAGTTGTGGCTCAAGTGGTAGAGTGCTAGCCTTTAGCAAAAAGTTCCAGGAAAAGCCCAGCTCCAGGACCAGCAGAAAAACAAGAGGATTTTTGGTTCTAATATTGTTTTGCCTCTTAATCAACTTTTCTTATTACCTAACTAAACTTTGTCAATCTAATGCCCAAACTATAGAATATGCCTACTATTTCTAAATATGAGACATCTATATTATGAATTCTATAAACTTTTTGAAATTGTAATAGTATAAATCTGAAGATAAAACAATATATGGCTGTGGTATGTTTGTCATCATTCTAATAATTTTCTCTTTCATTAAATTCTTGTAGTAGTCTCTTTATACCCCTATAAATTAACGTCTAAGGTAATTGGTTTAAATATTATTGCTATATAAATATAATCCTAAACATGAATGGACATCATAGGATTTTAATGATTTTTAATTTATCCAACCTATTTTCCTATTCCATGTGGATAAAATACTTCAATGGTACAACAGGTGATTAATCTCTCTATCTCTAGGCCATACTATCTGTAATCACAAATAACCAAGGATGCACTTAAGGATAAGAAACACTGACTCCAATAACAAGAGTATTATAATTAGTCTAATTACATTCCATTATATCCATTGTAACCATGGCTAGTGATTTTCTTTTACATTGAGATGAAAATGTAATGTGAGAGGCTGAGGTAGTAATGTCTTAGTTAAATCAAATGGGAAAATCTATATAACGGATGGCATACCAGGCTATCTAGTCACATGACCAGGAGATGCAAGGATCCACTTTCAAAATGGTGGACATTTATACTATAGGCCAAATACTATTATGTGGCAAATTAAAAAAAAAATCTTGGAGGTTCAAATTAGAGAGGTTATGTCCCAACAATGTTGTAAGTGCTGGTAGAAGAACTACACAGTCACAGTGAGGGACTTCCCAATTCCAGGAAGGTTTTCAGGGTACTCTTCCTATTAATCTTGGCTATATTCACCAAGGAATAAGATGTGGGAGACACACATAATCACAGAACACATCTTCATTTATCAACCACTGATGGTACCCTTACTATGGAGCCTGGATGACTAAAAGATGAAAAGCTATGGTTCCTAAAAATGAGTAGAAAAATAATAGAAAATCCTAATACAGTATGGGGATGCTATGGGGAGTTGAAGGAGTGACTTTAGCAGAGAAGGCTTCACAAGAGCAAGCAACACATGGACTGGGACCTAAAGTTTCAATAAGAAAGAGATAAAAATGAAAAGGAAGAAAAAAAATGAAAGGAACAAAGATGGGAAGAGAATGAAAAGGCCAGATTAGTTGCACATAAACAGTATTTTTATTTGTCAGATGACAAATAATCCACTGTATTAAAAAGCAGACCCTTATATCTCTTGATAGATACTCCATGGTGTGTGTATGTGTATATATGTCTATTTGACTTGATGAAAGGCAATTCTACCTCAGCTTCTTTCATATTACATTTTTATCTCAATTTGAGTACAAATAGCATGAACTCATGAGCCATGGTTCTAAAGGAAAAGAAACCTTGGGGGCATAACTGAACATAATTAATCATTGTAATAGTTCTCTGGAAACTAGAGTCAGTCTGGCCCAGTGGGAATAAAGGATGGAAAGCAGAGGCAATGGGGGAGCGGCTCCACAGAGCAGACTGGCCCTGACTGGCCTGAGGGCTGAAGTGGGCCTCTCTGTGTTCTTTTTCAAAGAGTGGGGAGTATCAGCAGGATTTCAATCAATCTGCTATTAAATGGATTCAGGGATGGTATTATTCTGTGCTTGTTCTAATTGCCCTACAAAAGAGAAATCACTAAGCAGAAGCTATAATATTAGACTGCATTGAACTAAGAAGTTTTTACTTAAGAATTTACTTTTGAGACAGTGACACTGTAGTTTAGGCTGGCCTCAAACTCAAGATTCTCCTGCCTCAGCCTACCCACTGTCAGGATTACAGGTGCTCCCAGCGTATCTATCTGACTTTAATTTTTTAAAAGACGTGAGAAAAAAGACGTGAAGATTAGTATTTAACACCCATAGTCTTTGCTACTAAGCAATCTTTTATTTCAATGGTTAGGCATTTAAGAAAACTATTGCATTCTTCTATTTCTCGCTACTCTCCTACCTTTTATTTCATCATTACTTTTCATATTTCATTAGACCTATCTGAACCAAATTTTGCACTGAAAGTACTGCTGAAGGAACACTTTTTTTTTTAAATACCATAAGCCTCTTCCTTATGAATCTATGTCCTTTGTGAAAGAACACTGTCAATTTGCTATTAGTGGATAGCCTTTCAAAACAAGTATTTGCTCCTCATGAAACTGGACAAGGAGAGAGTTGTATAACAAGGTATGTACTCACCTTCCATACTCTCTGTTCGCTCAGCTTTAGTAGTATCATCGAATCCCTGTGCAGACCCCAGGTCTTTATCCATTCTTTCTTTATCCAAGGCTACAGAGTCTCTGGAACCACCATCTAGGTCTCTTTCATGTTCAGTCTCCAGTTTTGCTTCACTGCGCTTCACAGACTCTATTTGAGAATTCTCAAAAGTCCTATCTCTGTCTCGCTCCCTTTCCATAGAATCAGGAATTAATCTTTCTCTTTCCCTGTCCAAGTCTCTCCTTTTGTCTCGTTCTCTCTCCCGTTCCCGCAGTCTCTCCCGATCTCGGTTCCGTGACCAGTCTTTATCAGCTTCTCGGTCCCATTCTCTCTGCCGTGTATCTCTCCTCTCTCTCTCCCGCTCTCTATCATGCTCATATCGATCCCGTTCTTGAAGCCTGTCTCTGCTATCAAATGACCCAGATCTTGAATGGACTTGCCGATCTGACTCAGGAGAACTTCTTCTTGAACTATGGCTTCTTGAATCTTGACGATCTAAAATAAGTATACCACATCCGAAGTTAACATATAATAAAATAGGAACAGAATGCTTTGTTTTTAGGGTTCTTTAGAAGTTACAATTTATCTTGTGTTTTACATATACTTTCAACAATCTCTTCATATATTACCCTGCATATGTGCATATTCTACAGTTCCTCTCCTTTCCTCCCTACCCCTCCATTTCTCTACTTCTAAATATGTATAACTTTGAGAAAAATGTTATGGCTCTCAAAATGTTAAAGTAAGTTTTGTAAGTCTTGTCTATTTCTACTACAGGCCCAAAATATCTTAGTAAACATATAAATGAATTAGGCATTAGTAGAACTAACTAGTTAATTTTTAAAAATCTCTTCCTTATTTTCCCTTGTCAAGTTAGTATTGAATTCGGGAAGGTTAAAATGGCAGGCACAGATACAGGACATGAATTCATACCCCCTTTAAAACAAGACATGTCATTGTAAGTCCCGTAAAACTTAAGGTAGTTTATAATCAATCTGGCATTTAGAATTATCATCTGGTTGGAATATATAGCATAGGAAACACAATTCAACTTATTACCTGAAGAAGTACTTCGACTAGGTTCTCCACGTTTCAACTGATCAATCCTAGATTTTCTCTCCCCCGTGACTTCCAGGCTCTTTGTTTTTTCTCTATCTCTTGAGCCACTATGCAGCACTCTCTTTCTACTACCTTGGTCGTCCCCACTTCGATGGGCAGAATCATTTGATGGGGAGCGCAGACGGCCAGAGGTGTGACTCCGGTTACTCCGGTTGCTCCCCAGGCTGCTGCTCCTCTTTTGGTCTACCAGTTTGCGGTGTGGTGTGTCCTCTATAGTCACATGAGGGGCCTCTACTTTTTCCACACGTGTTCTGTGGCACTTTCTATGTGAGTCTTCACTGGCAAAAGTAGTATTGACGGTGGAGGGGGTGGCAGAGGTGGGCGTGGAGGTGGCAGAGGTGGCAGCAGTAACAGTGGTAGAGGTAAGCACCGCAGCTGCAGCAGTGGCAGTGGCCACAGGAGGTGGAGGAGGGAGAAGGGAAGACAGAGGGGAAGGGATACTAGCTGCAGTGGTAGTGGTGACTGCATGTTCTGATTCCATCACTTCTGTCCGGTCTGGCACATCCTCATCAGACCAGTCACTAAAGGCAGTATCCTCCTTCTTCAGAGGGTCCTCTAGCAGGCCATCCTTATCACTAGAAATTTCAACCAGGTCCTCTTTGTTTGTCATAGGGGGAGTCCGTGGACCTCTTTTCTTCTTACTTTGCTGGGTGGCTTCTTCATCCGAAATATCAGAATCACCTTTGGATCTTTTGCGTTTTTTCTCAATATTTTTCTTCTTCTGTCCTTTTTTAGGTGAGAAGACTTGACCATCTTCAGATGTTGTCTCAATACTACCCCTCTCTATTCCAACATCATCCTCTTTCTTTTTCTTAATAGGTTTCTTCTGAAGTTTTGCTTTTTTCTTACTTTCATCATGGGCTCGATCAGATAGCTCACGATCTTCAGACTGGTGGTGGCCTACCAGGTCCTGGGCACGTGCTCTTGAGTTCTCCATGACTTCTGTCTGTTCTCTCTGTCTATCTACAGAAGAAATTTTCTCTTTCAATTCTTGCTCATCATAGCGCCTCGAACTCTCCTTTCTTTCTGGCTTACGGTCCTCTTCTTTCCATCTACCCTGCCTATCTTCTGTGAGGTGTGATGGGCTGAGAGAACGAGATTCTTGAGGTCGTACAACCTGGCTCAAGAGTCTGTGCTTTTCATCTATACCAAAAAATAAAAAGTAACCATATCTTTACCAAATTAGCAACAGAACACATGACATTGAAATAATACTACGATAGTCTCTCCCTTTTTAATTATTTCAGTAAAAATAAAAATATAGCTTTAACTACAAATAATGGGAAAAGACAATGCATTGTAATAAAAATGACTTTTTTTTGTGCTGAGCATTGGGGCTTGTTACAAGGCCTTATGCTTTTGCTTGTTTTATTTATTTATTTATTTATTTTTTCACTCAAGACTGTAACTCTACCACTTAAACCACAGCTCCACCTCTTGTTTTTGTTGGTTAACTGGAGATAAGAATTTCTTGGACCTGTCTGTACAGGCTAGGCTGGCTTCAATCAGTAATTCTCAGATCTCAGCCCCACGAGTAGCTAGGATTACAGGCATGTACCATCAGTACCTAGCTTAAAATGTATTTGTAACGTATATTTTAGCCATATAGAAAATGCATGGCAACAGTATAGCAAGGAAACTATTAAAAATCGTAAATTACCAGTTACATAGTCTCACAGTTACTAAACAGTGTAACTACAGACACAGAAGAGGGACTGTGCTTACTTTTGTCATCTCCACTGTTGTAGGTGTCGCTGTCAGGAGAATGTTCACGCCTGCGCTTAGGTGACTGCCGAGGGCTGGCACTTCCTTCATTTCTATAGCGCTTCCTAAATTGGGCAAGTAAATGCAATTTACAAAATGTTGATGGTTGTTTTTCACTAGCATTTCTTTACAGTAACTGTACTGTCAGCTGTATCACACAAAAGACATGCAGTGTCCTTTATAAAAATTTGCTAGGGATGTGGATTTTAAAATACAAGGTAACATGTATTTCATTATATGTGCATAGTTATTCAAGTTGAAATTGCCAGATTTAAATACTGCAAGGAGAAAACAAATAGCAGAAAAATCAGTATATTAATGTGCCTTCTGATATAAACATTCTTCAGTTTTACATTCTTATGATAAACAAATGTCTTAGGCTGGGAAAGAGAAAATATGGCAATATTTTTGGAATCCAACAGTTGTGAGTTCTACTTACAGCCACATTACTTATTATACAACTTTTAAATAAGTTCCTTAAAGTCACAGAACTTTAGCTTTCAACTCTAAAACTGGAGAAGATGAAAGTCATTCTGATAAAACTGCAGTATGGAATACATTAATTACGTCATATACCCAGTGCCTGGAAGGTTGTAGATAGTTTTCCTTCCCCCTCCTAGAACCAATTACTTGAAAAATTAATAAAATGATTCATATGTTGACTGAATTTCTTGTTCTTTAGATGAACTGTAAATGAAGAGTGCTTTATATCTTTTGGGTACTTATATTTATTACTCTAGTATTTTCTTGTATTTTCCTTCAATTATGACCACTATTTTAAGTATTTATAAATACCATGGTCAAACGCTGTGAAATATGCTATGGTACACATCTCCATCTGCAGATGGTAACCATGTAGAAAAGCTGGCCTAGGAGTAATATGACTACTCACAGGTGCCAGTTTGTTTAATTCCTTATGCACAGCTCTTCCCATTGTAAGGTGGCCTATTTCTTCAATGTTCTAATTTATGCTGGCTTAGTGACTCCCCTTATATGATGAGAGAATGAATTTAATGAATTTAATGAATGTGACACTATACAAATCTAGAGAGAAATGAACGGCCTTGCTGCTTCTGCTTTTGCTCTCAAGATATGTTCTACTACTACATGCAAAAGCAGACATTGGATCACAACAGGACAAGGTCATGTGGTGGAGAAATAAAGCACTAAAATTACTAGACATGTAAGAAAGCCCACTTTGAGTCATCTAAGCCTACCTGAAATGTCAGGTTGATGGTGGTTATTTTTAACTAACTTTTGGGGTAGTTTGTAAACACAGCAAGAAATAAATGATACATTAGAATGTGTCAGTTTAAATAAAATCTTAAAACATTAAAAAATTAAAATTCTTCGAAGGAAATATCTAAAGAAACAAAACTACAATAAAACAAATACTGTGGCAGTTCAGCAAATCTTCTACACAGCGGTAGTTTGAAAAAGAGTGGTTTTCTGGATAACTCAAAGCACTGAGACAACAATCCAATTAATGTAAACATCACACTATTAATCTAATTTAAATTGCTTTTTGTTACAGTTGTCTGATTTCTAAGTTTCTGGGGTCAATTCTTGAGTCTGCTAGCCAGAAAAACTTTCACTATTACAAGCAGAAATTAGAAACATAAAGAAAACAACTCATTGAACTAGATAAAACATGTGATATAACAATTTCAGAATTTTTAAAAAAAGTACAGATTTCAAGTGGGCAGAGGAAGGACATGTTTGCCTACATGGATTAAGTGTCTATGAGGTTTATACTAAAAAAAAAAGCTTTTCCTAAAACGTGGGGTAAGGAAAGCAGGAAATAAGACAGAGGTTACAGAGCGTCCAATGCATAATGGAAGAAGGCTCTACTTGTGTGCTACATTGTTTGTTCCTAACCATAATCCATAACAGTAGTGAAAAACCTGGCTTAGGAAAGCATAGCAAAGAGAACTGCTAGGCTGACAGGTAGAATCTTGGATAGTCCATTTCACCATCTGGAGAAACCCTTTCTGAGACTGGAACTAATACAAAGGAAATAGGAGACTGATATCTTTCCTAATTCTTTCTTTCAAAATCAAGATATAATCACATCAGAACAAACAAAAGCTAATCTAACTCATATAGTTCAGCAAAGCAGTCATTTTGGCTTAAGAAAGAGAGAAATTCTATCAGACATATTACATAATAACTTACCTTTGGCCCTAATAACCTACTGTACCTCCACAGAGGTAACTTCTACAATCTTACTTTCTTCAAGCTATGTTTTGATTTTAAGGATTCTCTCAGTTTTTAAAACACTGAGTGCTTGCTGTGGTAACACCATATATAAAGGCATAGGAAACATGGGAACCACAGGGCAGTAACACTTAATTACTAGTCAATATCAACTAGTTTAAAGGGGACGTGATGGCACACACACAAATTCACTACCACTTTTACATTTGATTACTGTGGGAAAAAAAAGTCTGCAACAGTCAAGAAAGCTCATCTGTCATAGAAAATATCTAGTAAGCTGGGTATGGTGGCTTATGACTGTGATCCCAGCTACTTGGAAGATGGGGGAAGAAGGATCCCAAGTTGGAGGCTAGCTCACATAAGGTAGTATCTCAGAAACAAATTTTAGTAGGGCACCAGTGGCTCATGCCTGTAATCCTAGCCACTCAGGAGGCTGAGATCTGAGGATCACGTTCAAAGCCAGCCCGGGCAGTAAAGTCTGTGAGACTCTTATCTTCAATAAACTACCAGAAAAAGAACTGGAAGTGGCGCTGCACTGTGGCTCGAGTGGTAGAGCGCTAGCTAGCCTTGAGCTGAAGAGCCGCAGGCCCAGAATTCAAGCCCCATGACCAACACCGTCTCCCCCCCACCCCAAAAAAAGAGATTAGGGGCAAACCTCACATGGTACAGTGTATGCCTCGCATGCAGAATGACCAAGGTTTAATTACCACCTCTGCCCAACCTTTTTTCTTTGTATATTACCTAGACTTCGTTAATTTTGTTATGGCAACAGAAAATAACTTGTTGATTATTTGTAGCTCCTGGATTCAGCAACAAAATTTAAAAATTATTTTTCCTAGGCAATGAAAAACGCTTTATACATGCAGTGCTTTTGAATGCTTACTCAAATATAACTTTTAAAAGCCGACTGGGAATCATTCTTACTTTGATTTTCTCTCATCATGTCCATCTCTGGGATTCCTATCTTCTCGGATATCTTCTCGCTTATCCCTGCGGTCATCCCGTCCCTTGTCTTTGTCTTCCCATTCCCTTTGACGTTCTCGTTCCTTATCCCTTTCTCTCGCTCTTTCTCGTTCCCGCTCTCGTTCTCTCTCTCTCTCCCGTTCTCGCTCTCTCTCCCTCTCTCTTTCTTCTCTCTCTCGCTCCCTTTCTTTTTCCCTATCTCGTTCCCTCTCTCTTTCTCTCTCTCGATCATGGTCACGATCCCTCTCTCGTTCACGGTCTCGCTCTTTTTCCCTTTCTCTTTCTCTCTCCCGTTCTCTGGCCCGCTCCCTTTCTAGCTCTCTTTCCTTTTCTCTTTCCCGATCCCGTTCACGCTCCCTCTCTCTTTCCCGCTCTCTGTCCCGCTCTCTCTCCCTATCTCTGTCCCTAGCCCTGTCGTCTCTTCTATCGTCCACTCTGTCTACTCTTCGTTCCTCTCTTCTTTCATCACGCTCAAGCTCGTCATTTCTCCCCTGATGGCGTATTGGTGAGCTTGGTCTTTGATCTATAATGAAAATCAAGTTTTGTCAGTGATTAATTTGGCAGATAACCTATAGGTAAGACAGCATGGCAAATCTTAAAAATTTATCTGAATACAGGGTCACATTGGCAACAAATTATAAATCAGCTTCTATATTTAATTTTAATGTAATAATCAAGTAATAATCACCCCTAGACCTTTAAAAAATGCTTGCTTAAAGTCAATTTCCTTTTGCCCTCTTAACTATCATGTGTTCTGCTCCCCATCAACCCCCTTCCCCCCTCCCACTGATCCACCTTTGATCTTTCTCTGCATGCTCCCTACCCTACTCCAGCCCACTGCTCCAACCCCACTTTCTGCCATCTCTACCCTTCACCTCTGATCTTCTCTGTCCCCCCAGCAGGACCTGAGAACACTGGTGGCAAAGGATAGGGGCAGCAGGAGGTGTAGAACATAGGAGCTGAAGGAAAAAAAAAATTTCCCTCGTAAGTCACACCTCTAATTTCAGGCCAAATCATATACACATTAAAGTGCAGTGATTATATGTGAAAAATATGGAACAAAACGTATGTCAAAAGTGTGGCTGCAATGATCAGTTTCTTATCATACATTAGAATTAAGGGCACTGTTGTCTAACAACTGTAGAACAGTCAAATGTAAAAAGTATCTGTATTAGTACTAAACTTATAATGAATAACTATTAATAACAGCAACTTTTTTTTTCAGTCTATCTAAGAATCACACCAACACAGAGAAAAAGACCAGATGCCTGGATGTGCAAGAAATCAAGCTAAGATAAAAAAAAAGTGTGTAAAATCCACAAACTTTTCTAAGAGGCAGCCATTTTTGATAGCAACTACTCTAGTATGATCTATACTACTATGCTGCTTATATTTTCACTCTATAATGTACATTGGTTAATTGATAAAGAAATTGTATTTTAGTTTGTTAAGTGGAATACCTAACATCCATTTATTTTTATGAAGAATAATTTTAGAATATTTTTAGGGAAGTATATAATAAAGTAACTTGAAGTTCCCTTCCTTATCACAGATGAAAGATATACTCAATATTTACTATGTAGAGGTTTTATTTCCAGACAGAAAAGTTTGAGAATTTAAAATCTAACCAATCTTTTCCTTTCCTTAGTTCTTAAAAGCACAGAAATTATGGTCCAGAACTCACTATGGAAATTATGCCTAACTGTTAGTTTTTCTTAAAAACTTTTATTTTGGTGAAACCAACTTAATTTAAAAATGGTTCTACAGTAAATGGAATCCCAGAATGCTATATATATCCATGCTCTAGACAGTCTGAATTCCTAGTTGGTGATCATAACCAAATACCCTGAAACAAAATCAATACTCTATCTCATAGCAATTCACACTAAAACTTCTGAATATAAGAATACCAGACAATAAAATACTGTCACATATAAAACCTTAATTTTCTCAACCAACAAGACAATGACTTTTATTTCCCAAGGAAAATAGAATATGAGCACGCCACACTAACACCTCCAAACTATCTTCCATACTATCATTCCCCTGGAATGTATTCTTCAAAGATGTGCCTCTATTCAAATGCTTTCTTATCTTGTTCAACAACATACCCACTCATGAAAGCTGGCAAGTTCTTAATGAGCCTCTCATCAGACTTTTCCTTGGCTTCTTTTCTTCATACCAATTATGGCACATCACCACTACAACCTCATAACACAATACATACTACTCTAAATAAAGCACACAGTTCTTTTAGTCCTACATGTCTGCTTATGTTGTACCTTTACCTGCAAAATGCTTCCTCCATTGTTCCTTCTAGCAAGCATGTATCTTTCAAACCTAAAGAAGTTAAGTCTTTTAGTTAAAGCAGCTTTCTTGAACTTCCTCAGAATTATGTTTGCTTCTCTGTCTTCTCATACAACTTCATATAGCAACTGCTATACTTCAACTGCCTATTCTGTGGCTAGACTATGAAGTCAGATTTAAATATTTGGTCATGTCTCTACCCTCAACATCTGTCAGTCTCTCTACTGCATGCCATCCTCCTAGACACAGCAGTCTTCTTTCATATCCTGAGTCATAGAAAGCTATTTCCTATCTCAAGAAATGTGTACCTATTCTTTCCTGCCCATGAAATCACTTTTATCCTTAAAATGCTAATTTCCTCAGTAAAGCTAGTTTCTTTCTCCCATTTGCACCTAAATAACGTTTCCTCAAATTTTTTGTTAACATTAAAACAGATTCTCTTATTTCTTTTTCTTTTTTATTCTTTTAGTTTCAGTCCATATTGGTTTCTTTGACAGTCTCAATGAGTCTTTTGGAAGTGAGAAGGAGAATCTTCACCACTGAGTTATACAAAGACAAGAACTATTAAGTGTCTAACAAAATGCTGATGTGGGTACTCAACAAATACTTGATTACCTCAAAATGTATTTCTACTTTAGTCATACAACTGATGTTTATTAAAATATACAGATAACTGGTCTGGTATTCAAAAGACCTGAGTTTAGATTCCAGTTCTGGAACTTCTCTGTAGTATTAAAATGTCTCTTAGGGGCTGGGAAGGTGGCTCAGTGGTAGAGCGCTTGCTTTGCTATGCCTGAGGCCCTGGGTTCGATTCCTCAGCACCACATAAGCAAAAAGAAAAAAGCCGGAGGTGGCGCTGTGGCTCAAGTGGTAGAGTGCTAGCCTTGAGCTGAAGAGCTGAGGGACAGCGCTCAGGCCCAGAGTTCAGGCCCCACGACCGGACCCCTCCCCCCCCCCCCAAAAAAAATGTCTCTTAGTAAAACCTCCAAGATTGTGAAATATCGATTATCTAACTTTAGAAATAAAATACTGTAAAATTTCTAGGACTATTGTAAAGACTAAGTAAAACAATGTATGTAACAATATTATCAGCATTCTTGTCACCCAGTAGAAGTGTGTGGTTGAACTAAACACAAGATTGAAATCAATCCTACTGCTGAGTTCAGGCCCACGATGAGGAAACCTGAGCTAGGATATGAAAATTTTAAAAAAGTATCAGGACACAGTATAAAAGAGAAGTTGTTAAAATGCAAGGGAAGAAACAATTTCAGAAATATGGAACATAAAAACTCTAGTCCTGCCTATAACTGAAAAACTCCTAATACACCTTAGGCTTACCTTTCACAAACTCATTCCAACCAAGCCGTCTGTTTCTGGGCTTGTCTATTCTCTCAAAAGTAGATAGTGTCTTAAAAGAGTTTGTTCCCTTCTTATTACTATTTATTTCAAGAAATAATATTACTTTTTTGATTCACCTATATTAACATACCAATATTCATCAACTGAAAAAATATTTCAAACTCAGCACTATAATAAATCTTGTGTTAAGAAATCAGCCAAACACAATGAGACCTTCCTAAGATTTTTAGATTTTTAAAGACCCAAATACAGACAATAAAAGCTTGCTATATAAAGTACATATAACCCTTAAATGTTTTCTTGTAATCTTGCTTCAAAATTCCTTTAAGACCACAGGCACTGCTGATGGCACTGTAATCCTAGCTATTCAGGAGGCTAAGATCTGAGGATTGCTGTTCAAAGCTACCCCAGGCAGGAAAGACTGTTAGATTCATCTCCAATTAATCCCCTAAAAAAAACAGTAGTGGAGCTGTGGCTCAAAATGGTAGAGTGCTAGTCTTGAGCAAAGACACTCAGGGACAGCACCCAGGCCCTGAGTTCAAGCCTCATGACCAACCCCCCCCCAAAAAAATTAAGAGATCATATAACAGATTAACTAAATATCTTTAGCTTAAAACATATGAGTACAAAATAAGCTAAAGCAAATACTATATATTCTCAGAACAAAATAACACAACATTACACTCAACAATCCCCAGACCTATTACCATTTTCCTCTGGCTCCTTTCTGGCAGTCTTAAGAAAATTCTTGATTTTAAACTATTAAACTACTCACAGCTTTTTAAGGAGTTTTGACCTGTTTGGTTACAATGGGAGAACAGTAGGGCATCCCAGTTTTGAACTCTGCTGCTTTATCTATTGGTAGCTATTTTACATAATCACTCCTATACCACATGGACTAAGACTATATGAATAAACACAATAGACACTATAGTTTTAAATATCTTAAATGATATTTGGCATTACAAAGTACATCGATATCTGTTTAAAAAAACAATTCACTTGGCTGAAGTTCATAAAATTCTGTTGACAAACCTCTTTCTCTGTTGTCCCGACGGTCTCTCTCTCCATGTCTTCTCTCAAAGGAAGAATCTCTGTTGTCTCTTTCTGGGTATCTGTCTCTTTCAGGATAGCTACTTCGAGTTTCCCAGCTGTCATGATAGTTGCTACTACTACTGTGACTATCAATTTGAGAACCTCTTGTGCCTCGACTTCCTAAACAAAGGATATTCACACAAACATTTAACAAATATAATACTTTCTTCAACAAGTTTCACTAGTCATACTCTTTCCTCCCAAAACAGCACCTTATATTTTTTATTCCCAAATGTGGTAATCACTGCTAAAAAGAATATTAAGTATTAAGTCAGAATATGCAAGTTTGTCTAACTTGTCTAACAAATTTTCCTAACTATAAGGTCAAAACCTGGGAGTATGACTCAAGTGGTAGTACCTTCTTAGCAATCATGAGGCTCAGAGTTCAAGCCCTAAAACTATTAAGAAAAGAAAATTAAAAAGTCACATAATGGCAACATCAAGCAATACCTAACCCTCAAAACAATGAAACAAAATACTTATTCACAGAAGTAAAAAATGAAAAATATGGATATGATCTACTGCTTTAATTACAGTTTATAGTGAACTATTTCATTATAAAACCAAGGTAAGTCACACGCTAATAATTCATGCCTATAATCCTAGCTAATGAGGAGGTTAGATTTGAGGATCTCAATTTGTAGCCATCCTGAGCAGGAAAATCTGGGAGACTCTTATCTCCAATTAACTACCAAAAAAGCAGGAAGTAGAGCTGTAGCTCTAGTGGTAGAGTAACAGCCTTGAGCAAAAAATGCTAGAGGACAATGACCAGACCAGACACAGGTCTAGCCCTAGTACTGGCACCAAAACAAAACAAAGCAAAGCAAAAAAAAAAAGAGAGAGGGAGGTGGGGGAGAGAGAGAAAGAGAGACTGAGAGAGGGGGGGAGAGGGGGAGGGAGAGGGAAAGAGGGAGAGAGGGAGACAAGGAGAGAGGGAGAGAGGGAGAGAGGGAGAGAGGGTGCACCTGCAAGGTAAGCTGAGCACTCAGGAAGCAAACATGTGGAAGATTATAGTTCAAAGCCAGCAAAGGTCAAAAAGTCTGAAAGACTGCATCTCCAAAATAACCAGTAAAATGTAGGGCTGGAGACTTGGCTCAAGTAGAACACCAGCCCAGCAAGTCCCTGAGTTCAAAGTTGACAGAGGAGGATGGGGTGAGGGGGAAGAGATAATGAAGGGAGGGTAGTAACAAAGGTAATTTGGCAACATGAAGTGTTACCTTAAATTTTTTTATGAAAAGATGTTGGAAAAGGATGTTCATAATAACTTTATATGTAACAGACTCAAATTTGAAATCTTATGTCTTTCAGTGGTGAACAGTCAAATCATGGCAGAATATACCATGAATCGTGCCATGAGATAGTATTCAGCAGTAACAAGGAACATACTACTGAGATACATGCAACTTGGATGAATCCAAGGAAGATTATGTTGATTAAGAAAAAGCCAATGACAATAGCATCATTCCGTTTATGAAATAGTTATGCAGGACCATCTTAGAGGTTATTAGGAGTCACAGACAAGATGGAGGGGTAAGTGTAGCTATAAAGTAGTAACACAAGTAAATTTTGTTACAGTTCAATGTCTTGATTGTGGAGAAGGTAATACAAGACTATACATGTAATAAAGATGCACAGTTACACACACAAAAACACTGAATATGAATAAGCCTTATGTGTTATATACCAGTGTTGATTTCTTGGTTTTGTTTCTATACCATAGTTATGTAACATGTTAACATCAGAAAAACCCCATACATCATGCTGTAATTTCCTATGAATCTCTACTTAAGAGAATTTGAACTTTTTAATGGGTATGATACAAATAGAGAAAGGGTATGAGTATGGGGCTGCTAAAATCAAAAGCAAAAACTCTGCAAGGCTCTGTCTCAATCTTACGGACTGTACCAAATCAATTCTGATGAAGAGGCTAAGTTTATTACAAATTTAAAAACTCACCAATAACCAACTCAAAGTAATAATTAGAGAGCACTTCCTCAAGAAACACATACTCACACACACACATACCACACTTTCCATATAAAAGGCTTTGAAACCCAAAATTGAAGATATTCCTGAATAAAGTACGTAAATACCTACAAGGAATGTCTTAGAAATTAAAGATCAGGAAACAGCATTTAAGACTATGAAAGTGCTACAGGTAAGGTGCTAGTAGCTCACACTTCTAGAATGATCATAATAAAAAAAGGCTATTTACTATGCATCTTTGTGTTTTTTTGAAACCCTTAACCATTGTGGATGTAAAATTTTTTTGATAAATACCATTTATAATGGCAACAAAAAAGACAGTAGCCAGGAATAAAAAAATGAGAAAAACCTTAATAGAAAATGTATAAACTGATAAACTATTATAGGTAAAAATCCAACAGTTTTTTCATAAAATTAAAAACTAATATTTTGAATTTGTATGTAAAAGGGTCAGGAAGTCAGGAATGGTGCTAATTTTACCATTCAGGATGACTGGGAGGTAAAGACCACCTGGACTGCAAGACTCTGTCTCAAAAATAATTAATTAATTAGTTAAAAAAAATCATTTTACAGAACTTCAGGAACCGTCAACACTTAAATGATTTTTCTGACCAGGGATAGCCCAATAGGCTAATGGAAGTTCTGTAGCTCTGTAGCAGTGTTTGGTGGTAGGGTAAATAAAGGAGTATTTACCCTAAATCAATACAGTAAGCTATATATTAGCCTTAGTCATTTAGACAGTCATAAATGCAAAGTCATTTGGGTGATGGCAAATTCCTTTTTCCCCCTGAGAAGAAAAAATGGAAAATCACAAATTCAGATCATACATTCAACTGACTGAAAATCATAAAATAATAACAATGAATGTAAAAAATAATGCATTTGAAAAGCAATCTTAAATTTAGTACTTGCTATAGGAATACAGAAGATACAGTTGACTAACAAGAGAAAAGCCTTACCCTTTTCAGGTATCTCTGGACCTCTCCCCCTACTTCTACCCATGCGGTCATTCCTAATTTCACTCCGAGACTCATTTCTGGAGTCATTCCTTATTTCAGTACGAGAACTTTCTTCTCTTAAGTGATTTCTGCCATAACTCCGGGATTCATCCTGGTATGTGTCTTCCTTCCGATGAGTATCTCGACCTTCACGGTCCCTATAGTCATGAGAGTCCCGGGTAGACCTTGAATCTCTGGGGTCTCGGCTTTCCTTGGTTTCTCTACTATAGTCCCTCATCTCCCTAGAGTCTCGGATGTCTCTGGAGTCTCTTAGCTCCCTGCGATCTCTAGTATCTCTTCGATCCCGGCCATCTCGAGGCTCTCTGTCTTCTCTGTGATCTCTAGAAGAGCTCTGGTCCTGTTCATACTCTCGTTCTTCTCTTGTGTCCTTTTCTCTGTCTCTTTTGCTTCTAGTCTCTGTAACACAATTGGAAATAAACGGTAATTCCTTTTACAGAGTTTCACAAAACTAGATCTAGCTTATTTAATATAGTGCCTTAAAAATCTTACAATATTTATATTATTTTTACAGCAAAAGCAAAAACATGGACAAATACTAAATTAAACAATGCTTTTATTAAAATTCAAGAGGTAATTTTATTGATACCTGATAACTATATATATATATATTTTTTTTTTTTGGTCCAGTCGTGGGGTCTGAACTCTGGGCCTGGGTGCTATCCCTCAGCTCTTCAGCTCAAGGCTAGCGCTCTACCACTTGAGCCATAGCGCCACTTCCGGCTTTTTTCATTTTGCTTATGTGGTGCTGAGGAATCGAACCCAGGGCCTCAGGCATGCAAGGCAAGCACTCTACCACTGAGCCACCTTCCCAGCCCCTGATAACTATATTTTTAATTGGATAAAACTTTGAACAGCAACTTACCCTGCGTAGAGACCCTAAACTCTAACAAATAAAAATGGAACATATCTTTTGTATAGCTTTTTAGTAACAATTTCTGATTCTGAGGCACACAATTAATCACTACTACAAGTACTAAGCTACATTACAACATATATGTTCACCTCAAATGTATTTAAGCACTAGAGTAGCTGTCTGGCAAAAAAAAAAAAAAAAGTATTTAATTCTGTTATTCTATCTTTCTGAGCTGCTTAACTTACTGATAATTGCAACCATTATTGAAGTTTTCCCTATAGCATTTCCTAATGTATCATAGAAAAAATAAATCCTTCATTTTTTTTAACAAACGGACCTCACTGATTACATAATGCAATCTTGTCATATTATATATGAAGAAATAGAGGCCCAAGGCTGAATGGTTATTCAACTCTGTATCTCAATGGAATTTGCAGACTAAGAATCCTTGGTTAGATATGCCTAGGGAAGGCACAGCTTATTACAAAAATCTAGTATGTAGCCAAAAAATGAATGAGAACTCTTAAGAATAAACCTACCCTTTTATTCAGGTTCGTGTGTGCGTACATGTGCGTGTGTGTCTGTGTCTGTGTGTCTGTGTTGGTCCTGGGTGATGTCCCTGAGATTTTGTTCTTTTGCTCAAGGCTAGCACTCTATCACTTAAGTAACAGCTCTACTTCTGGCTTTTTGTTAGTTAACTGGAGATAATAGTCTCACAGACTTTCCTGCCTCGCTAACTTTGAATTCAGTCCTGAAATACTAGAATTACTGACATGAGCCACCAGCATCCAGTAGTTAGTCAGGATCTTATGCAAGTTGCTTTCATATCCTGGAATAGTCATATTCTGAGGCTATTTTAGCAAATGTAGCAGCTGTATTCCTTAAACTTTTAAATTTATCTCCTTTTGTCTATTCCCTGGTGGCTGGAATACATGGAATTTTTCAAGGACCTAAACACCTTGAATTCACAAGCCCTAGGACCTCATATCAATACCCTAACTCAATGCCAGTTGCTTTCCTTATATACCCAGGTGTCAAAAATGCTGCTAAGGACAGAAACAAGAGGCAAGGGTCCAATATAGCTTCAGACCTCTGAGTGCACAATTATGTTTCTGCTCTTCTTCCCATGTCAATTGTTAGTACCACATCCTTCTTTCCCGAGTCCCCATTATTTTCACAAAAACATCTAATAAGTACATTCTTGTCTTTACGTACTCACTTATCCTTCTACTCAAATCATTCTTATTTCAGAAGATGACATTTAAATAGGGGCATAATCATCTGCTTAAATCTATTCAATTTCTTTCATGGGAAGGTAAAGAAACATCCAATCTACTAAAGATTTCTGCTATACTGTAGTCCTTCTTTCCACAAAAAAGTATTCCTATGAGATCTGATTACATATTACTTTCCTTTCATTAATGTTTAATAGCAATACAAAATCTTTACTAGTAATTAAATATATTTTTATTCTTGGTCAAATATAGTTGTTAAATATCTTACTAAAATTAATAGCTAGAGTTTTCCTTCTTACTAATGTTCCATAAATATTGTCTTTAAATTTCTATCATGTATTCTACATGTAAGTTCTATATACAGTTAACATTGGTATGGTTCCAGAATCATGTACACAAAAACTGTAAAATAGGTGTATTCTCTGGACCCAATCTACACATCCACCATTTTGTGTGTTGTATGTGTATGTATGTGTGTACTGGGGTTTGAACACAGGGCATCATTCTCTCACTTGGCTCCTGCTCCCTTCCACTACCCTCCTGGCTAGTGCTCCATTACTTGAGTCAGTTCCAGCTTTTTGCTGGTTAACTGGAGATTAAGTTTCATGGATTCGTCTGCTCAGGCTGGCTTCAAACCAAGATCCTTAGATCTTAGCCTCCTGAGTATCAGGAATTATATAGGTTAGAGTCACCAGTGTTGGAGCTGTTTTGTTTGAGTACTGCAGACAGAACCCAGGGTCTCACACATTCTAAGAGAGTACTCTACCTCCAGACCTACTTCACTGTTCTTTAAAAGACACAAAGTAATCAAAATAGAAGCTCTAACAAGATGGCCAAATGTACTCAGTAGAATATCTTAAAAGGAGGCAGGAACTAACATACCTGTATGTGCTCATTTATATGTACTTAATACTGTGCCTTTCATTCCTGCGTCTTTAAGCATTTCTAACTTCCCTAGTTTGTGTGATACAGAGGCTTAAAATGAAGCATTCCTCCTTCATCCCTTTCCTATTAAAATAAGTATGGATGTCTAATATTTTAATTATAAAGCATTTAAGCAAAAGAACCCTAAAGACCAGCCAAGCTAAAATACAATGCACACCTTCCCGCCTTTCATGCCGTCGATCATGAGACTGTGAAGTTCTGTCATGATCATGCCTCCCCTTCTCTCGCATTGGGGAGCGATGCCTTGGAGGACTCTGCTTTCTCTGAGGAGAAGACAAACAATGTGAAGGATAAGGGGAAGCAGAACGTCGTAAAGATGGAGTTAAAGTCCGCTGATAAGATGGTGAAGGAGTTCTTTTGTGCCGAGGAGAAGGAGAATGTCTTTGAATAGATGATCCCGATTGGGAGGATGATGAGTGATGTCTAGAAGATATAGGAGAATGATGTTGTCCAGCTGGGGAAGTGGATCTATGAAGGAAAACAATAAACATGCTCTCAACACCCTCAATTGTAGCCAAAGGAAAAAAATCTTTAAAACAGTAAAGACTGTATACCCTAACTTAAAGCTTAGAATTCACTCTGATAAATTCTGACTAGTAAGAGCTACACAGGAGGTGGCTGCTCATAACAAGGTTTCTAGGAAAGGGAAGCTACCACTACCTGAGCCAAGCAGAGTGTGTGCTGCCTGTTTTGATATTTAGGACTTTACATTCATCATCAAGTTACCCTAAAACACAGAAAATACCAAGTGTTGGTGAAGATGTGGAGAAATCAAAACTTTTGTGCATTGTTGGTGGGCTTGTAAATTGTGTAACTGATATGGAAAGTTTAAGTTCCTTAAAAATTTCCTCAAAAACAGAAATAAAATTATTTTATGATCTAGTAATCCCACTTCTGGGTATGTACTCAAAGTAACTCAAGTAACTCAAAGAAGAGTCTGGAAGTAGTGGTCTAACAATACTTTCTAAGTACTAACAAGCTATACATTTAAAAATGGTTAAGATAGCACATGTTTATGTTTTTATAACAACAAAAAAATTCAAAGATAAATTTCAAAAGCTGATATTTATATTTACTTAATCATCCATGCCTCACTATTGAAACTACTAAGCAGAATACACAACTAGCAATAAAACCAAAAACTCATACTAATGTTTAAAAACTTCTGCAGAGTAAGCACTTGAGATTCTACAAAAGTAGCATTTTTAAATCTTACTTACCTTGGCTTCTCTCTTTTTTCTCTTTGCCTTTCAAAATCTCGTCCTCTGTCCTTCCCATCTCTTGGTTTTTCTTCAATCCTATCTTTCACTTTATACTTTTCTTTATATTTTTTCCCCAGAGCAATATCTTCTAGTATAGGAGGAGGAGGACTGGGTGTACGTGGCCCTTTCTTTTTACTTTGGTTGCCTTTTGAATTCCTGAAGGTAACAAAGAGCTATAATTACAGGTCTAAATATTTTTGCAATACCAAACGGATATTTTAAAAAGTGCATTTTAAAAATAGCAGCCTTAGGGGGTTGGGGAGTTAGCTCAGTGGAAGAGCTCTTGCCTGGCAACTGCAAAGCCCTGAGTTAGGTCCTCAGGTCTGAGGGGAAAAACAACAGCCTTTGCCAGGCACTGGTGGCTCACTCCTGTAATCCTAGCTACTCAAGGAGGCTGAGATCCAAGGATCACAGTTCAAAGCCAGTCTGGGCAGAAACATCCGTAAGACTATCATCTTCAATAAACTACTCAGAAAAGGCCAAAAATGGTGCTGTGGCTGAAGTGGTAGAGTGCTAGCCTTGAGCACATGGGGAGCACATGAGTTAAAGCCCCAAGACTTAAAAAAAAAAAAAAAAAAAAAAAGCAGCCTTCATTCCTGCTGCTTTACCTTTAACTACGGTGTATACTAGTAACTGATACTTGCAACTTATTTTTCTAAACACTTCTTATTGTTAAATAAAACTGCTTCAACTGGATTTTTAAGTTCACAGTATAAAAGTAGATAAAGAAAGCAAAACTGATCAGGTATCTCTGTATCTAGCTCCTCAGAAAACAAAGAGGATTCTAGTTCAAGGCCCCTTAGACAAAAATTAAATGAGACCCTTATCTCAATAAACAAGCTGGGGACTCTGAACTTCTACATTTTCTACCCTTAATTACATCAGTTTTAATTTCACTGCATCTCTGTTATGACCAAAACTTCTTAAGTTTATTAGCTACTGTATCTCCTGGATCTCTCAAGTAAATTCCAATGCCATTCCCATCTCTTCTTTTACTTGCCATTATCTTAGTTATAAAATTTAATAACGTTTTCTTTAAATAGAAACCATCTTGGATCCTAAATCTATTTCCTATTACCCTGAGTAATAAGAAATAGTCTCAATATTCCTCAGGAGTCTCAATATTCCTTGGATGTAAAAAGATAGTATACAGTCCTTAAAATTGCTGATACAATTTAAAAAAAAACATAAAAGCATCTGAATTATGATTAGCATGCAGAAAATTTAACTCTCTTGATTCTTATCTTTATTTCTTATTATCACAGATTGGGTCAATCACTTAGGCAAGTAAGAAATTACTAAAAGCTGATGACAAAATTTATTTTTCATTCTTAATTTCTAAGAACAATACATCATCTCATTGAATATTTATGAGATGACTCAACCTTCTCATACACCTAAAATGCAATGTGTTTATATTCCTAGATATCTATCTAAATGAAAATAAAGATAGAAGAATTCTTAACAGAAACTGAATTTCCACATTCTGCCTATGTTTACCAATCTTTTTTTCCTTGGCACACTGCAGAACCATACATCTGATACATTTCGAAATTAGGTGTGGCCAACTGACCAAGACCTGGTCAAAAGTAGGTGAGTATGGGCTGGGAAGGTAGCTCAGTAGTAGTGTGCTTGCCTTGCATGCATGAAGCCCTAGGTTATGCATGAAGCCCTAGGTTCGATTCCTCAGCACCACATAAGCAGAAAAAGCCAGAAGTGGCACTGTGGCTCAAGTGGTAGAGCACTACCCTTGAGCTGAAAAGCTGAGGGACAATGGCCAGGCCCAGAGTTCAGGCCCCATGACTGACAAAAAAAAAAAAAAAAAAAAGTGAGCAAAAAGGATGTGTATGTCTAGGTCTGATTCTCTAAGGACTCTGATGATAGACCAGGCAATTGGTAGACTACAGAGATAAAGTTTCCTTATATATTCCATTCTTTGGTTTTCTTGAAAGTCCAAGAAAAGAGAATCATGGTCAGAAGGCACCTGTGTTACTGAATTTCATGTATAGAACAACAGCTAATATTTGGAAATACCTAGTTTGATTCCACTTGAGAAATTTTTGTTTCTTCTGAACCTAAATATTATGTTAAACCACTGACATTTTGGGATTTAGCTATTGCTACAACCAGGATTATCCTCATAGACTTACTAAAGAGAGAATTTCTTCACGTTAAGAAGTATGTGCTTAAAAAAACCAATTATGCTACACTGCATTGTTTTCTGGGGTTTTTTGTTTTGTTTTGGTCACTAGTGGGCCTTGACTCTGGGCCTGGGCTCTGTCCCTCAGCTCTTCTGCCAAGGCTAGAGCTATACCACTTGAGCCACTGTGCCACTTCCCGCTTTTTCTGCTTATGTGGTGCTGAGGAATTGAACCCAGGGTCTCATGCATGCAAGGCAAGCACTCTACTACTAAGCCACCTTCCCAGCCCTATTGCATCATTTTCTAGAGGAAGGAAGCAACATTGATTTTGCATATTCTCACATCAATAAGACCTTTCAAGATATGATTCTCTCCCATCCCAATCTATTTGTTTTGAATATCTTTTTACATAATTTATATTTGTATTATGAATAAAGAAAAACTTAACTAACAAAAACTAAGATTAAAACTGCAGATAGAATAGATATTAGATGTATGATTTTTGGGGGACGAGAAGTACTAATACTGGGGTTTGTATTCAGGGGGCTGGGGTGCTGTCCCTGAAGCTTTTTGCTCAAGGCTAGGCTGTACCACTCAAGTACAGCTCCCTTTCTGACCTTTTGGTGGTTAATTGGAGATAAGAGTCTCATGGACTTTCCTGCTGTGGACAAGCTCTGAATCCTCAGATCTCACTCAACCACCTGTGTAGCTAGGATTATAGGTGTGAGCCACCAGTTCATAGTGATTTATGATATTTATTAACACTCTATCACATATCTCAAGATTAACTACTATACTGAATCTTAACTATCAAAAATGCTAACTTTCAGAGAGAAGTTTGAGTTGTGATTTGACAGTAATTTTATGTCCATTCAATATGAAAATGTTTACTTGCCTCTGAGTTGACTTACTGGTATTAGCTGAACTGTTCAGTTGAATTTTAACTGAAACTCAAATTGTTACTTGTGTTTAATGTGTCTTTTGTTTACTGTTTGATCCAGCAATAAAATTCAAATTGTTACTTGTGTTTAATGTGTCTTTCGTATACTGTTTGATCCAGCAATAAAATTAAAAGTTGATTATCTGACATACTCAAAGTGCATTGCAAGGAGAAACAGTACATGATAATTCAACATGCTTTTTTTCTTTGTATTTCTTTAAGTGTGTTTTTTTTTTTTTTTGTCTTTTCTTTCTTGGTACTGGGGATCAAACATAGGATGCTACACTTGCTAGGAAAGTGCTTAGACACTGACCTGTATCCAGGTCCTTTTTGTTATTTTTAATGTACTCTTTTCTAGGATTTTCTGTGCTATTATTAATATAATGGTGCAATAGTTAACAAACTATTGCAAGATAGGAAATATAGTAGTTAAATCAATGTGAAAAATTGTGTTACTAACACAATAAAAGACTAAATGAAAGAAATAACAAAGCCTTCATTTAAACAATAATTAAAATTTTCTATAAAGAGATTAAATTTCTATTATTTCATGAAAGGAAAATATAAGAAAACAAAGAAAAAGAAAGGGCATTTCTGGTATGCAATTCATTGAAGAAATGAAAAGAAATACACATACTTATATGGTTAGCCAAAAGGATAAGTGAAATGGATCAGATCACACCATGATTCAAGTTTTTCCACATCACTTTGCGGTATTTACTCACTAACAGAACAAAGAAGAGGATCAAGTCAATGTTACTGAGTGCCTTATTACAATGCAAAGCTCTATGCAAAGCCAGCACTGTGGAAAAACAGTACAGTGAACCATCAAGATCCCAATTTCAAGGAGCTTAAATTTAATAGAGGTTGTAAAACATATGTCATAGCCAAAATATAAGTACAACAAAGGAAATAAAAATTATGTCTGGTAAGGAGAAATAAGAAAACATTTTCAAAAACTTTGAGTTTAAGCTAAAGATCGACAGATTGAATGTAGAAGATTGTAGTAGGAGGGAGATTAAACAAAAATATTGCCAGGATAGAAAAGATCAAAGTATGATTATCATACTGAAGAACTCAATTTCCTTCTATAAAATGGAAAACCTCTGAATTTTCCATAGTAATACATTAATCAGAATAGTTCCTTAAAGATTTCCCTAAAAACATGGATAACATGAATGGGTGGAAAGTTGGTAATAGAAAATGTCTGTCTGTGTAGGCATGGTACTATATAGCATGAACACTATAAAGTGGACACCATTTGTCAACTGATCAAATGTTAGAAGAAGGAGGCTTGCAGTTATTTTTTAAAGCTAATTTGTGAAATTTAATTAAAATAATAAATAGTAGTGACATTTAATGAAAACTTGCTAAATTATTGTTGAACCCCCATATAATTCTATCTAATTATCTCTTATTTTGACAGCTGTTACCATTTTAAACATGCCCAGATGCTGCAATGTGTATTTTTTCTTGATCATGTACCTAAAGATAAGAATAGTTATTGTATATACTCTACAATATCTAAAAACTGAAAGCAACATGTTCAATAAAAGTAAGTATGTAGTATGAATACTAAAATGAAGTAAAGCTAAAACTATCAATATAAAGATCAGAAAATGTAAAGTGAAAAAACTAAGACAAGCCAAATTATATAATGTACTTGTTTTACAATTAAATAGATGACATCAATATTGCAGTCTGTGTAACAGTACACATTAGTGAAAGTATAAACACACATGTATATAGTTTATAAACCCAAGAAAAATCCACTATATTTCATTTCTTAAAAATTGAAAAACTCTGAAGCACATGCACACATAACAGTATTTTGTAGTTTTCTGTAATTTTTTTACCTTTTAAAATAAAGGCTTACACATAATTCTAAATGTATTAGAGGTAAATTTCTATAACCAACTAAGTAATTCTTTCCAGTTAGCATTCAGAAAAATGTACACTATTTATTGCCCTACTGACCTCTGCTGGTCCAGCAAGGGAGAAGATACTGCAGAAGTCTTCTTGTCTTTCTTGGCAGCTGAAGAAGATTTGGGGCTTGATTTCCGCTTTGGAGATTTGCTAGACTTTCTTAAAGGTGATGGAGACAATTTTGATCTAACTACTTCTGGTGAAACCTTTCAAGAGAATTCAGTAAGTCAATTCAGAAATTCATTCAATCATTATACAACAATAATACATCCTTTTCTTTTTTTTTTCAAAACAAAACAAAAAAGAACCCTTAGATTAAAAACTAAGTAGTACTAGTTACCATTTGTTGACAGACTAATTACTGAACCCAAGTTTTAACCTGTCATAAGTAGGTTTGTAGGTAGGTAAGTAGATGGGAGCGGGGGGGGGGGGGGGGGGGTATTGATTGCCAGTTGTGGGGGCTTGAACTTGTGGCCTGGGTACTATCCCTGAACTCTTCTGCTCAAGGCAAGCACTCTACGACTTTGAGCCATAGCACCACTTCCCATTTTCTTGTGGTCAATTGGAGATAAGAGTCTCACAGATTTTCCTGCCTGGGCTGGCTTTGAACCACAATCCTTAGATCTCAGCCTCCTGAGTAGTTAGGATGGCAGGTGTGAGCTACCAGTGCCCAGTTTAAACTATCGTATTTCAATGAGCTAACATACACTAGTATCAAGAACACAAAGTTAGGAGATTTCAAGGTCTCCTAAATTAGTTTCCAGTGAGCTTTACCTCCACATCTTAGAAAAGTCAACAGAGCACTCTAAAAATAGCATGGACCCAAAACAGATATGTACATTCAATTACTTCCTATTTGCTTGTACCCTAAGCAATGGATCTTCAGCTTTATTCAACAGCAAAATTATTTCCTATTATTAACATAAATGGAGGAAATAAATTACAGTAAACTGATCAATGTATCAGTATCTAGAATAAATCATTTTTCTGATCACTATTTGTGCTATCACAAGCATATATTTCTTGAAATAAATAAGATACCTCCTTTTTAATGATAATTTCTTCTCTCTTCTCCATATTTTCTTGTTCCAGCTTCATTAACTCCCTCTGTATCTTCTGCCGCTTCATTTCCAATGATAACTCATGAACATAATCATAATTAATATCTCCATTGTCAGAATCTTTAAGATAAAAATTTTTTAGAAACCATAATTATACAGCTTTATAAAAATTATATAAATTTAAATGGCAAGTTCTTTCATTTGAATAACATAATTCTAAATATAAAATATAGTCTACAAAGAATTAAAATCACAATGATTAATTTCTTTGTGAAAAGCAATACCTTCGTATGGTTTGTGGGGTTTTTTTGAGAGTAATTTGGGATTATGTGGGATTTAGCATTTTGTTAAGAGATTTATATTTACAATTCAAGCTGGGAATGTACTTCAGTGGTAGAGTGAACTAATGACTAACATAGAAGTTGCGTCTACTTTTAACATATTGCAAGAGGTTGCCTAACATGAAGGTCCTAACTTCAATCCAGTATTGTACAACTAATCAAGCTGCAATTAAAGCACTGAAATATGCTAAGAATGAAAGAAAACAAAGCCTTCAATATTTCATGCTATATTTGATGTGATAATCTCCTTGATTTATTTGAAAAATTCATTGCTCAAGTAAGGTTATGTGTTAAATTAACATTACGTTCTATAATTTGGTAATTTTTTTGTGTAAGGCAAAGAGTTACATTGAGCTGGGCATTGGTGGCTCATGCCTATAATCCTAGCTATGCATGAGGCTGAGGATCATGGCTGAAAGCCAGCCAAGGCAGCAAAATCTATGAGACTCTTACCTCCAAATAACTAGAAAAAGCTGGAAGTGGAGCTGGGGCTCAACTGGTAGAACACTAGCCCCAGGACTGGCACACACACACAAAAAGATTTATAATGAAAATTAAACTAATTTTAATTAATTTTTTGCATATACATATTGATTTCTTGTCCTAATCCAATACCACATTAGGCTTTATTGATCATAAGCAGAGGTGCTTTCTCAAGCTTCACTTCTACCCTTTAGATTATTTCCTAATCTGAGCTAAAGAGATAACAACAACAAAAAACCCTAAAACACACTAAATCAAAGTATTTCTACATAGCTGCTTAAAATAGAAGAAAATATATTGCCAGGTATAACACAGGTGCATTGGAATGTTCTTGATTGGTGAGTGAAGGTATGTCTATATATTCATTATCTGTGTGACCAAACTTCATTACACATCTTATGCTATAGTATGATGACAATATCACCATAATAATAAAATAGACTAAACCATGATTTTAGTCAGAAAGCAATTACTAAATATTTAAGGGTAGATGGTTCTTACCACAAATAATTAGAAGTACTGACTTTATTAAATGAGTAACAGCTACCTTTACTTACTACTTTGTACTGGATTAAGACTGTATGTAGGTAAATAAAAAGATTCAACCAACTTGCATGACTATATTCTTAAGTAAAATTCTATAATCAAACATCTAAATAAAACAGAGTAATTGAAGAGAAGGTAACAGTGTGCCTTACTATCTAAACCCTGCTATCTCCAAATATCAATAGAGAACACATAAGAAACAAAAAGATAGCTTTTAGTACGTAATTCCCAACTACCCAATCAAGGGAGGGGAGAAGCCTCAGCATTTAAAGTATCTATCAAAGTTGGTCAGATATGAAGATTCACATTTTTATTCCAACTAATCAGAAAATAAGAGACTGAGAGGATCCTAGTCCCACATCAACCAAAGCAAAAGAGTATGACCCTATCTGAAAAATAACTCACAAGTAAAAAAGGGGTATGACCCAAGTGCATACCAAGCAAGCTCAAAGCTCTAATAAGTTCAAAACCCAAGTATTGCCCTCCAAATATATACACATCTATCTGTGTGTGTGTGTATGTGTGTGTGAGGGGGGGAGGAGTCACAGGGAGAGGGGGGGGAGAGAGAGAGAGAGAGAGAGAGATCTGGAGAATCACAGTTCAAAGCCAGCCCAAGCAGAAAAGTTTGTAAGACTCCATCACCAAAATACTTAGCCAAAAGCCAGGACTCAGTGTAAAGAGTGCCAGTCAAGCAAGTAAGTCAAACAAGCACAAGGCCAAGTTCAAACCCAGTTACAGAGGTGTTGAGAGGAAATCTTAGGAGATTTCAAAAATATTAAATATAACTTGTACAGTATATTTAACACAGAAAATACTCAAAATACAACAAAAATATATGCAACACATTAAAGTGACATTCTTTATAAAGAACTCTTACTGTTGAATAAAACAAATAACCTAACAAATTCAAACAAAAAGAGAAAAGATACAAATGACACATGTCTTTTTCATGTATTATGGAGTCTTTTTATTCCAATTTTAGTACTGTTTGCAAAAGGCCCAGATACTAATTTTTTTTTTTTTTTTTTTTTTGGTCATGGGGTTTGAACTCTGGGCCTGGGCACTATCCCTCAGCTCCTTGGCTAAAGGCGAGAGCTTTACCATTTGAGCCACAGCGCCACTTCCTGGTTTGTTTGTTTTTTCTGAGTTTTATTTTTTTTCTGAGGTTTATTGGATGGAGATAAGAGTTTCTCTCAGACTTTCCCTGCCCCGGCTGGCTGATCCTCTGATCTCAGCCTCCTTAGTAGCTAGGATTACAGACGACTACTTCTTGTAAAATAGTTAGTGTACAAGCCTTAAGAGCATTCACATACCCTTTATATAACCGTTTTATTTCTAGTAACTTATTGCTTGGAAATAACTAATGTATTAAGAGCCTACAAAAGTCTCCTACTTCCTTTTGTTTTCATTTATGCTATATTCTCACTATTAAACATCTAAAATAATTCTGAATACACACAAGAAAAAACATGAAGCTCCTTCATATTCTATCAGCACCATCCAATGGTAACACTGTTGACAGTTTCATGTTTCATGTATAAAAAAATCTTTACATTCTTCTCATTAACATAATTTAAACATTAAAACAAGAGCCTCAGCAATGCAGAAAATTAAGGTTGGAGGATTAAAAGGTGGGAGTCCTGGTCTACCCAATAAGACACAACCTTGAAATAAGTAAGTGAATAAACAAAACAATGGAATCAAATACAAACACTGTCCTATAAACAATATTCTCCCATGTCATACACAGGGCTCAACCATTTTCCTTTTCTGCCATTCTATTCTATCACATTCCATGCCATTCCTTATTCCCTTTCACCTATTTCAGCAATATCCAGGTCTGATATGGTCAGAGCCTTGTGTTTTCCAGGCAGGTACTCTATCCCTCTAGCCCTTTTTTGCTTTTAGTATTTTTCAAGTAGTCGCTCACATTCTTGCCCAGGGCCAGACACAGACCATTATCGTCTTACCTAAAGCCTCACACATAGCTGGGACTACAGGTGCACATCTCCACATCCAGCTAATGGATTGAGATGGGGTCTTGATAACTTTTTGTAGCTGGGATTACAGGTGTGAGCCACGTCCAGCCCTCAATCACCTTCATTTTAACATCTGCAAAGCATTTCATAATAATGAACCTACTTGACCAGTTTCCTTCGGACAGTCATACAGCTTGTTTGCAATAATTTGATACTATAAACAGGACTTCAATGAACATTTTGATAGCTATTTTGTTTTATAAGAAAGTTATTTCTTTATGACAAATTTCTGCATTTTCTGGAATCAAAGGTAAGTTAGTTTCTATTTTTTAACATGGACAAACTGCACCACAAAAAACAACTATCCCATCATAAACTTCCATTTAAAAACATTAGATTTTATATCTGCTGAACTGATGGGTGGAACACTTTGTCTCTGTTTTTATCAGTCTTTTCCTGCAGTGAGGCTGTCCATTTATTGTTGACCATTTCTATTTCTTCCAAGTTAACTATTACATAATTTTTTGGCAGATTTTTAAGTTGATTAGTATCTTCTTGGGTATCTGTGGGAGTTCATTATGTTTATAATGTCTTTATTAATTGATACATGTCAAATATTTTCTCGTGTTCAATATATCACATGTCAAATATTTTCCTCTAGTTTATGATACCTTTAGTTATACAGAAATGTCTAATTATTATGGAATCAAATCTTAAAAGTTCATTTCTATGTTTTTTATTTTATACTTTATTGTAGGAAAATGAACTTGTGTCCAAGATTACCAAAATAGTTTTATACTGGATGAGAGCTACTGGATGAGAATGTACAGCTAACTTATCTATCAGGTAATAGCTTACCTCCAGAACAAAGAGGAAGAGAAAAATATTCATGGTGGGAAAAATCTACTATTTGTTTTAAAAAAAAAAAGGCTCAAAAGGCAATTTTACCTATATTCAAAAATAAATTCTGTGGTTCAATTATCACTTGGATTTCTTCTGAAAAATGAGAGCCAACAATTTCTTAGAAATAATTTTCTCAGACGTTTAATCCTTAACCTCATTTTTATCATTTTATGTAAAACAAACAAATTTCTTTTTTTTTAGCCTTAGTATTGGTGAATTTTAGTATTACACACATGATAAAACCCCATGCTGCACAATGAAGTTGCAGAAGAGGAAGAAAGGATGGGGCAGTTGAAGCAGGCAATACAAAGTACTTTTTCTGCCTCTGTACTACTACTTTATACTAATTTCTGCCTTACTGCTCAGAACTGGGTTAAGCTGGTAATTCTAGAAGAATAGAGAGGTCACAGGTGAGCAGTCTTAGAGCTCATTAAAAATCTACAAAGTGATGGGGCTGGGAAGGTGGCTCAGTGGTAGAGCGCTTGCCTTGCATGCATGAGGCCCTGGGTTCGTTCCCCCAGCCACATAAGCAAAAAGAAAAAAAGCCAGAAATGGTGCTGTGGCTTAAGTGGTAGAGCGCTAGCCTTGAGCTGAAGAGCTTAGGGACAGTGCCTAGGCCCAGAGTTCAGGCCCCACGACCGGACCCCCTCCCCTCCCAAAAAAAAAAAATCTATAAAGTGAACAATCAGGAGATTATTAGAAAGCAAAGGTTTTGAAACTCACCATCTCTATTTGTTTCCCATTCTACATTTTCTTCTTCACTTTCTGGGGTTCGTTCTTTAGTGATTTTTATGTCTTCTTTGTCTCTATGTCTCCCTCTTGAAGATTCTTTCTAGAAAATAAATATATACATAAAGATGACCATATTTTGAAAAACTATATGAGGTAGCTCTTAGAACATACAATATTTTAATTTCATTTAGCTGTTTCATTAAACAAATGCTTTTGTAAAACAATCATTTATCTACAAGTAAGGACTGACAAGGACTAGTGTAGCACCACAGAAAAAAATCTACCTTGTAATTATTTTATTAAAAAATAGTGATTTGTTAAATGTAATCAGTACTTCAGATTTTAGAAACATAATGAAAATCTACTACTTTTAATAAGCACTTGATAATTCTCTTACATATTTACTGTGGGAAAAGTTCTAAGTAGATATAGATTAGAAAATCACCAATTAAAAAACAATAAAAATATTTTTAAGCCCTCAGAAGTCTCAAAAATAATCAATCTAGGAAAATCTACTAAAGTAACAGACATTACATACAGAAGGATAAATTCAAACTCCTTTAGTAATTTTATAAAAGCCTTTTCTTCCTTTTTTTTGTTCTCTTCCTTCTTTTGGTGCCAGTACTTGAACTCTCAAGGGCCTTACACTCTGGCTTGGTTTATTTGCTCAAGACTGGTGGCTACCACTGAGTCACAGCTCTACTTTTGGTGGTAGATTGGTGATAAGGGTCTCACAAGCTTTTCTGCCCAGGGAGGATATGAATCATGATTCTCAGGTCTCAGCCTCTTGTGTAGCTAAGACACAAGCATGAACCAACCACCAATACCTGGTTTACAAACACTTTTTACAAAAAGGTGATTTTTGCCTATTTTTATCAAGCTAAATCAGTTAACAGATTAATCCTTTAAAAACAAAAAAGAACAAGTTTATATCTTAATCCAAGTGTAACAGCAGCCTAAATAGAAAACAATGGGTAGTTCAATTTTTAAAATTCAACTGACCAATTAATTCAACCTATTATATAAGACTCCAAACCACATTTTATTAGGTAGAATTATGACCTCTTGTAGGTATCTCAGCCCTCAGGGATGAGAGCCTCCCTGGAGTGTTTGTTTCCGGAGGACGAATGCTGAGAAGAGTCATTTGGGAACCCTTTAGGTGTGCATCTGGGCAAGCTGTTCATGCTCCTCCCCCAAGCTGCCCACTGTCCAATCACTTCCAACAGGCAGCTCATCATGTGGGGCTGGAGGCCCTACACCCTTTAGGGGCACGACCCGCCCCCTGGAGGCACTCTGAGGCCCCACCTTCTCCGGCGGCCCTGCAGAGCCTCACCTCTTGATGCCCCGCCCCCTCCAGCAGGCTGGGCTGATTATAGGGGACGGCTGTCTGATTATTACATTGGTAGGAAAAATGTAAGTAACCAGGGCTACCTCCCCACTGCTGGTAAGCTATTAAATTCTCCAAACTTTGCTTCCAAATAGTTACAGTTCACAAGTGTTCTACCAGGAACAACTTCAATCTTTCTTGGAAGTAAAATATGACCTTTGATTGATTTCTGAAAACTTTAGAATACTTTTAGAAATTCATAATCTCTAGCAAGATATCAAAACCTTATGAAGTCTATCTTGAGCCAGTCAATTCCTTTCATCTAGCCATCAGAAAGTACTGTAACTGTTTCCTAGGGTACTGTTATCCTTCAGATTATTGTAGCCATATAAGACATTAGAACTCCTAAACATGATTACTATACATACATCTAGCATACAACTTAATATTTAAACAGAACTTAAAGAAAAAAAATCACCACTGAAATTTCACTGAGTTTTGAGCAATCCATTCCTACCCTAACAGGTGAAGATGACTCCTCTGTATTTCGTTTCTGGGACTCAGTGTCCACATCTTGGCGCTTATTTTTCATTCTTTCTCTGAGATCCCCTGTAGGTCTTTCTGGTGACCTTTTGAGACAAAACATAAAAACAAAAATATTTATTTATTTATTTATACCATTTTATAAGATCATATCTGTAGGAATAACCTCAAATATATTTATAGACATACTCTCAATATATTTTCTAGCCTTTTTTAACTCCTAAACTTCTAAAATATAATTTATTTCAACTTAGGATTAATAATTAAACAATAACATATGAGTATGAGAAAAAGTAATCAAAGTAATTGCTTGACTTGTTTTCTTATTAGCTACACAATATACTAGTTACGTGTGGAAGGAAAAGACAGACTAAAGTAATTTTAAGATACAAATAGCAAAATTAATCTGGAAGTAAAAACATTATAATCTAAATAGATATATAGTTGGATATAACTAAAAAATATTTTATATTCCTTAAAAATGAAACATGTGTAAGAATTTCATGCTATTTATGCTAGCTTCTCTTAAATTTAAGTTATTCCAGAATAAAAGTGGTTAAAATTAAAATTATTTAAAATTAATTTTCAATTATTTTTGTGACAAACTTTATGTATGTTACCTCTTTAAGTACCATTACAAAATCAAGAAGAAATCAAAAGAAAAGGGACTATATTAATTTATCCAAACCTCTTCTAAAGGTAAAATGATGTTCTAAATAGGAACTATGTTTATCCACATGTATACATGTTTTTCAAATTAGTATATTGTGCTAAAGGATTTGGCAAACACATTTTAATCAACAACAGTAGTGCAGGATTTTAATTTAGAACATCCTTACATACACTAAACTTATATCCTATTCAGTTCTAATATATGAAGAGTTAACAATAGTCTAACCCCACTTAAATTCTGACAGCATGGAATTTTGCTGTCTTAAGTAGCAATATATAGAGGGAAAGTAAGCCATACATACGCTCATTACAAGATTTATCATCAAAACATCTATTAAGCACATACATTCATTTTAAAATTAATATTTTATTAATCTTTAACCCAAAACATTTTGTCCTTCCTTACCTTGTTGGTGACTAGTACCAAAATAGAAATTGGCCAAATATATGGTTGTATTTTAGACTTTCATACTAGACAATTTCCAAGTGTTAACTTCTAATAATATATGAAAACTTGGACTTTCTGTTTACCTTCTATAGTTGCTGCTATAACCTTTTCCACGCGGTGAAGGGCCATGTACAAACCTACATGTGTTTCCATAGAGGCAGTTGCCAGTCTTCAGCCAGTTCCGGCACTGTGTCTAAAAGACAGATATCACTATGTAAGTTTCATATTGACTTCCTGAGAAAAGATACTAGTGGGCCAAAATTAAAACAAATGCTACCCAATTCCAACTAATCTATGATATATCACTCTACCACTAAATTTTTTAAAATAAGAAAAATTACAAAAAACCCATAAACTCTACCTTTTCATTCCATTCTATAAAACATTTAACACATGTTCAATGTTACTAAGACAATATTCGTATCCTTAAATATTGTGAGACCAGGACTCAAACTCCTGTTTTCACTCACTGTTGCTCTACTACCTGAGCCATGCCATCAACCTCAGTATTTCAATTCTTAATATTTTCTTTTTGCCTTTTTTTCTCCAGTGAGGACTGAATCAGGGCCTCATACAGGCTAGGCAAGCCCTCCACCACACTCTCAGCCCTTTCAATAGAGAGAGAGAGAGAGAGAGAGAGAGAGAGAGAGAGAGAGAGAGTGTGTTTCTTGCTCACAGTTGGTACTCTACCACTTGAACAAGCCCTCCACCACACTCTCAGCCCTTTCAATATAGTGCGTGTGTGTGTGTGTGTGTGTGTTTCTTGCTCACAGTTGGTACTCTACCACTTGAGCTATGCTGCCAGTCCAGCCTTTTTTCTGGTTAACTGGAGATAGTCAAACTTTTCTGCCTGAGTTGGCTTCAAACGAATATCCTCAGATCTCAGCCTCCCAAGTAACTAGGATTTACAGGTATGAGCCACCAGTTCTCGGCTCAATTACAGGACTTGAATGACTAACCTCTATGACTACACTTGTAACAACTCACCTCTGCTGTACTACCAGTGCTTGGGCCAAGCCTCTCGAATACACTGGGTCTTCTGGATGTGCTGTCAGATATGGTCTTGGTGTTTTCAACTGTGACTTTCCTCCTTATCTTTGACATTTTGTATTACCTTAACGATGACAAAAAAAGGCAAAATTGTAAAATTCTTCAGTTTCAAATAATTAAGCTCATAACTTAAAAGATAATACTTTAATACAGAGGACTTTCCTTGGGGAAGAAGGCACAGGAGAGATCACAGGTAAGCATAAGTACATACCAAAGAATGCCCTAGTAAATACGTAACAACTTTAAAATCTGTTGACTAGAATTATATCATTTTTCAGCTCTCATAATACATTCAACCTCAGAAATTACACAAGAAAATGTCTACTTCACAACTTACTTAAAAAACTGTTTTCAATTTTAGTAGCTTCACTGTTTAGAGGAAAAGCTGTTAATGGCTTGGGTTCTCTATCAAAGAAAACGGGGGCAGAAATCAAGTGAAATTTTAATTGGGAGTAGAAACCATGTTTTTATATGGTTTAAATGACAACAGAAATTATGCTTCAGATATCAGTACATAAAAAGCCAGGCCAACTGGCATATCCATGGAACCTCAGCAGTGGGGAGGCAGGGAACAGTTGACTAGTTCAAAGCCAGTCTGGGCTACATTTTGAGATCCTGTGTCCAAAATAAAACAAAGCAATAAATCAGAATGGAAGAGAGCCAAATGTTATTTAAGAACGTTCTTTACTTGAAAAGGTCAAAGGAAAACAATCCAATGAAGCATGTTTATTTTCCAGTAATACCAAAAAGAAAAAAGACACCTCACTGTTAGGACAGCCTGTACAATGAGAAAAACCCAAGAGTTTCCATAGTCTATTGTATATGTACATGAAAGTCAAAGGTCATAAAAGAATTAATGAACAGCACAGGGTGCCAGTGGTTCAAGCCTATAATCTTAGGAGGCTGAGATCTTTGGATTCAGGTTCTAAGCCAGGCTGGACAGGAAAAACTATGAATTAACCACCAAAAAGTATAAACTGGAGCTAAGGCTCAAAGTAGTACAACACCATCCTTGAGCAAAAAAGCTAAGGAACAGTGCCTAGGCCCAGAGTTCAAACCCCAGAAAGAGTATGGACACATCCACACACATACATTATGAATGCATTCTTTTTTTGGGGGAGTGGGGGGTCCAGTCGTGGGGCCTGAACTACTCTGGGCCTGGGCGCTGTCCCTCAGCTCTTCAGCTCAAGGCTAGTGCTCTACCACTTGAGCCACAGCCCCACTTCCGGCTTTTTTCTTTTTGCTTATATGGTGCTGAGGAATCGAACCCAGGGCCTCATGCATGCAAGGCAAGCGCTCTACCACTGAGCCACCTTCCCAGCCCATGAATGCATTCTTTTACAATTATTAGCAACAAGACAAAATATTAAAAAAAAAAAACTTTCTAGGAAGTCAAACTTCAAAAAAACTAAGAGCTAGGTGTGGGGGCTCATGCCTATAATCCTAGCTACTCAGGAGGCTGAGATCTGAGGATCGCAGTTCAAAGGCAGCCCTGGCAGGAAAGGCTGTGAGACTCTTATCTCCAATAAACTGCTCAGAAAACCAGAAGAGGCGCTGTGGCTCAAGTGGTAGAGCGCTAGCCTTGAGCTTAAGAGCTGAGGGACAGCGCCCAGGCCCAGAGTTCAAGGCCCACCACCAAAAAAACAAACAAACAAAACCCTAAGATTATATAAGAGTAAGCTAATCCATTTTTTATAATTTGGGTGATTCAATTAGAAATGAAAATATTAGATGATAGTATGATATACCTTAGAAATATTAAATGAGTAAGAACCTGCTGCAACAAAAAATCATTTAAGTATCAACTGCTCTCCAAATAAGGAATTATATACATGCCGAGTCTACTTGTTGGTGTCAGCATTCCAAGATAATCTTTAATTTTTCTTGAACTTACTCTCATTCTATCTGTGAACTTGAGAATAATCTGGTAAAAATTCCATATGTCCATTTGATTTACTGAATATAAAGAATGGAACGCTGATAAAAAAAAGACTCAAAGAAGACAAGAAAAGCAGAGTTTTAACTGAGGAAAACACCCAGCAACTTACAATTTAGATCCAGGAAGGATTCAATAACAAGTAAACATATTACAAAATACACAAAAAAATATCTGAAAGAGAAATGCATTTTAAAGCTTCATTATATTACTACAAAATCAATATACAAATGTACATTATAATTCTCTGCCACTGATTCTTTTATTTTCTCCTTCTCTCCTTCCTTCCTTCCTTCTTTCCTTCCTTTTCTTTGTGCCAGTCCTGGGGCCTAAACTCAGAGCCTGGGCACTGTTCCTGACCTTCTTTTGCTCAAGGATAGCACTCATCACTTGAGCCACAGCACCAATTCTGGCTTTTTCTGTTTATGTGGTACTGAAGAATCAAACCCAGAGCTTCATGCATGCTAGGCAAAGCACTCTACCACTAAGCCACATTCCCAGCCCTCCTAATTCAATTTTAAAAACACTTAATAAAATTGACTGGGTTCCAAAACTTCCTGTGAACTAAGAACTCTAAAAAGAATGAAAACCATTTTTTTTTTGTTACAAGAAGTCTATTTCATCCCTAAAACCCTAAACTTTGATTTTTCCCTCCACTATCAATGGAAGTGGGTTAGATCTGCCCCCCGAGCCCTTATCCTTTTCATGCCTCTACTCCCAACACACCTGCCTAAAAAAAAACAATAGTAGCAGGTTCCACAATACTAGTCATATATCATCTTCTTTTCTTATTTTCTTGAGGGCCCCAGGTATTATCTCTACTGCCCTCTCTCTTCTCTCCTCCCACCCCAGCTCTGTTTCCCCCTTCCCCTCTTCTTTTTAGGGATTTGGTCAGGGTTTTTTTTTTGGGGGGGGGGGGGATCATAACTACTACTAGAATGTTGAATTTCTCAGCTTCTCTCAGTCTTAGATCTCTAACATAGGCTTTGAAAATGTCAAAGGATTTGGACTATTGTGTCAAAGACAAGTGAAAACTAATGATCAAAACTTAAAATATGTTCTTACCAATAAAAGATGCTGACTCACAGGAATGGGTGGCTTACGCCTGTAATCCTAGCTACTCAGGAGGATGATATCTGAGGATCAAAGCCAGCCCCGGAAGGAAAAGTCCAAGAGACTCTTATCTCCAATAAACCACTCAGAAAGCCAGAAGTGGCACCATAGTTCCAGTGGTAGAGCACTATACTTGAACTGAAGAGCTGAGGGACAGTGCCCAGGCCCAGAGTTCAAGACCCATGACAACCCCCCCCCCCATACATACACACATAAAGATGCTGACTCATTTTTCTGTAATTTAGCTTTGCTGAGTATCTGGGGAAACATGGGGGGGTGGGGCGGGGAGAGAATGGTAGTTTTATTAAGAAAACTAGGCCTGCAACAGTCTGTACACGAAATGGGATTTGCTTTCACAGTATGAGCTTAAAACAAGCCCAAATTATATATGACAAAATTTAACTAAGACTGTATTATAGATTCACAGCACAGCTTGAAAAATGAATGTTGTGATGGGAATTCATCTCTTAACATTTTATAACCTTATACTTCTTGCCTTCTTGTGAGTTCAGTAGCCCTTTGACTTGTGAAGAATTTGCTGTCCTCTTAAGTGATTGCTGACGTCTCTCCTGAAATCTCTTGAACATGTGAACATTATTAAAGAAATAAAACTTCTGTTTCCCACACAAGTAACAAGTAACTTCAAGAACAACTCAAGCTAAGTACCAATAGCTCATGTCTATAATCCTGGCTACTTGAAAGGCTGAGAATGAGAAGATCGTGATTTGAGGCCACTCCGTTCACCAGACCTATTCACAACCCACAGATGTACATAGTGGCAGGTATCTGTCACAAAGCTCATATTGGAAAGACTGTGGTGCCAGGTCATCCTGAACAGAAAAGTCCATGAGATACCATCTCCAAGAAGAGAAGTTGGATGCAGCAGTGAACAACTGTGATTCAGCAATGATCAAGGAAGGCTAAATGGGCAGCTCACAGCTCAGGCAAACACCTAGGCAGAAAGTAAAAACCTTATCCTAAAATATAACCAAACAGTGCTTGAGGTGTGGTTCAGCAGTATCATGTTAGTCTAGAAAGCTAGAGACTATAAGTTCAAACCCCAGTACAAAAACAAAGAAATTAACAATTATTTATCTACGGTAATTTTTCTAGGAATTTTACTTCCAGCGACTGTGGAGTCTTCTCCCTTAAGGGGAAGAAAATCCAATAACATACAGATATGCTCTTTTTTCTCAGAGTCCAACAGTGCCAGGCCAGTCTTATACTGCAATGGCACTGTATCTTGGTATCATGAGGCAAAATTAGAAGCTAAAGATTTCCAAGTAGAAAAGAATTTTTTTTGGTGTGAGATAAAATTTTGCTACATAGCCCAGGTAGACCTCAAACTCATGATATTCCTTGCCTCAGCCTCCTGTCAGGATTACAATTGTGCACTACCATGCCAGTTTCTGGAAAGAATTCTAGTGATCATCCTCTATGATTTGGATTAATTCCCCCAAAAATCCTCATGGTAAAGGCTTGATCCCCAGGCTGGGGTAGTAGTGGGAAGTTCTGTGCATTTTTAAGGGGCATGGTTTAGGGTGAGGCCTAGAAGATCCTTGAGTCATAAATACTGGAGATTGCCCTCAAAACAACTGTGGTACTTATCTCTTCTATCTCTTCTTGACTGAGGACATGAGCAAACTGCTCATGATGAGCCACTCTCCCAAAGCCTCAAAGCAGTGGGCCCAATAAACTTTCTCTTCATAAGTAAACTGCCTCAGTTATCATGTTACAATAAAACAAATAATACATCATCCATCTAGGAACTTCTATCAGCAGTCAACAATAAAGTTAACTCAATATACATTTCAATATCTGTAACACTCATGAGTTTACATTAAATGTTTTCTGTTTGAACGGAATACAATTTGTAATTTTTTAAACCCCATTTCTCTGAAAGTAATTTATATTACACTAGAAAAGAATTCCTTTTTCATATATTAACTTAAATTGTAATCAACTAATGTGGCTATTCAAATTTTTCAATCCTATTTAAACATTTAGGCCCACAAAGGAAGATGAATAACAGAATAAAATGTACACCACAGTGTGCTCCAAAACATGAGAAAAATTAGAAACAAAAATTAGAAACCATCATATAAAAATGCAAACCCTAGTATTTCCATATCACAGAGACTATAAATGGAGATCACACCATGACTCAATAATTTATTCTTCTTTGAAGAGTAATTTTTTGTTTTCAAATTATTCACTGGCTTAAGTTGCTATCATATTTCTACCTACTTTATCACATCTTTCCCAAACACAAATATTATCAAAGCCAGGTAACACTGCTTAAGTCTATTCTTCTATTTTTTCCTCTCCATTTGTAAATAGATATCTGCAGCGTTCAAGTAGAAAAGATTACTAATTTTGAGTCTATTAAGACAGAACAAGAGTTGTAACTATGAGACCTGTTCCCATGCTACAGAAAACTTAAGACATCACAATGTACTCAGAAAAAGGGGAAAGAGATGTATCTTCCTTCTTGCCTCTCCTCCTTATCTCTTTTCTTTCCCATTCCTTCCTACCTTTCCTTCCCTCCTTCTAGATATCTTCCTTATATATCTTCTCCTTTTTTTCACCCCCACTTCTTTTTTTTTTAACCTCTCTTCCCATCCTTGTTTCTCTCATACTAGGTATTAAACTCAAGGTCTTGAGGATATTAGATTCGCACTCATTTGAGCTGTACCCCATCCCTCAAATCTCAAGCCTTTTGTTTGTATTTTGGTCTTAAGATAGATTTAGTTTATATTGCCCAGACTGGCCTCTAACTTGCAATCCTCTTGCCTCTACCTGTCCAGTAGCTGGGACCACAGGCATTTGCTGCCATACAAGTCTGAAGTGCTTAATCTGAATATAAGTAATTACTCCTGAGACCTAATTACCAAAACTTTGTCAGTAAGAATTTCTTATCCAAAATTCTGGAAACCAAACATTTGATTTTGGAAATTTTTAATAAATATAATACCATGGGGATGGAATCTACATTTAAACATAAAATTTATTATGTTTTACACATGACATACATACAGCCTGAAGGCAATTTTACACTATATCTTTGTGTGTCTATATTCTAACTGTACTCCATCACATGAAGGCATGGATGCAATTTTCTACTTGGTATCATGTCAACACTCAAAATGTTGGATGGTGGATTTCAAATTCAGATTTTTAGGTGAGGGATGCTCAATCTTAATCAGTTTTAGTACTTTCACTTCCAATCTCATTCTACTTGTAGGATAAATGAATGCACATATCATTTTAATCTGAATAAACAACAGCATAGTATTAGGAAATTGTTAAAGAACTAAAGCTACTGGGACAAATCTCTAAGTTCGAATATCTTAAGATTAAAATAATTACATTAAAATATAAATTCTCTTTACATTTCTTCTTGTTCTTTTTTTTTTTTGTCCATTATGGGGCTTGAACTCAGAGCCTCTTTGTGATCAAAGCTAGCACTCTACCACTTGAGCCACTGTGCCACTTCTGGTTTTTGAGTGGCTACTTGGAGCTAAAAGTCTCACAGGGGAGACTGGTTTTGAACTTCGATCCTCAGATCTCAGCCTCCTGAGTAGCTAGGATTACAAGCACGAACCATAGGAGCCCAGCTCACATTTTATGTTTTTAAAAGAAAAAAAGGGACAGTAAGCTTATGTATAGTTTATAAGAACATTTTTTAAAAAGAACTTAGAAGTTGGGTGCTGGTGGCTCATGCCTGTAATCCTAGCTTCTCAGGAGGCTGAGATCTGAGGATCATGGTTCAAAGCCAGCCCAGGCAGGAGAGTCCATGAGATTCTTATCTCCAATAAACCACTCAGAGAACGAAAGTGGTGCAGTGGCTCAAGTGGTAGAGTACTAGCCTTGAGCTTAAGAGCTGAGGAACAGCCCCCAGGCCCAGAGTTCAAGCACCACGACTGACAAAAAAAAAAAAAAAAAAAAATTTAAAAAGGACTTAGTAAAACAACTTTCCAGACTTTGTATCTGCAGGCTTATACCTCTCCCTATGTAAGACAGGAGCAAGGAAGAGACAGGTTAGAATAATCTCCACTGAAAATGAATTCTCCAAATTAATGTAAATTAAGTAATTTTTTATTTTTATGTAAATGTGAGGCATATTAGTGTATAAATTAACACTGTGACTTATTAAAATTTTAATCACATATATGATATTTTGGCAGTTTAAATTGTGATTAACGATGTGAAAATGAATTAACATCTCAAAATATGCATTAAATGTTTATTTCCAGTCACAAGTGATCAGGGAGATCATAAAAGGTATTCAGTTGGCTTTCCCTATCTGTGGTGGGTTCTATGAATTAATAATAGGCAGAAAAAGATAGTGTTAGTAATGAACATGTACAAATTTTTATCCCTTATTATTCCTAAGCAACGAAGTGTAACAACTATCTATACATCATTTATATCACACTAAGTATTATAAGTGCAAGGATGATGAGGTAAAAGGAGGATATATGAAAGGTATACTCAAATATTAGATCGTTCTATACAAAGGACTTAAGTATACTCAGAATATCTGAACCAATCCTCTATGGATAACGCAGGTAGATTGTATGATATGATAAAACTGGATATGCCAGTTTTATCAGAAGCATCTATCAGATTCACTGTCTTAGAAAGTCTTGAAAAAAAATCACCCGATATAATCTAAACCAATTATGCAGTTGAAAATGATTTGAAGATCTACAGATTAAGAATATGAAACTCTCCAAAATACCGTACTGGTATTAAAACAGTTATGTCAAACATTACATACAGAACCACACGACATAGACACACACTGTACTGTACCATCATTTGGACTTACTGCAACAATGTCGTGGATTTTGGAAACTTCAGGCGTGAACATCTTTCCCAAACTTTAAAATGCCTTCTTCAAAAATCCACAACCCGAAGAGGCGGCACAAAACTCTATTTCTCCAAGTAGTTTGAATTATCTGAAAACTAGTATTAACCAAATGGTTCATGACACTACCTCCCACAGACAAGACCCGACTAAAATCGAGTCGTGTTCACTAACTCCGAATTTTTCCACTCACAAAAATTACGTTCACCTATTTAGAAATAAAAGATAATGCCACATACACCACACCCTCTCCTTTCCACCTTTCGCGGCTTCGGCAACGTAACTACCACGAAGTACCTTGCCTCAAGCAATCAACTAGGAAAATGCGTGTGAGATGAAGCAGCACTAAACTCCCAGGACGCGGAGCTTTTATTATCTGCAGAGAAATCAAGTGAGACCAAACACAATCACAAGAAAGTCTGGGAGGAGTGCATGAAGAGCGTGCCCAAATTGCTGCACTCAACCGAAGCACACGGATGCGATTACTGCGCAAGGATTCCCAAACCTGAATCCGTTTAAAGGGCAGGGCTCACCCTTCGAGTTGACCTGAACGGGACAAGCTCCACAGTCCTAAGAAGAGCATGACGTGAGGTCCGAGCGTGGGCCGCTGTTGCAGATCTGGGTGAGCTGCGCAAGCAGAGCTCATCACCCCGGCGGAACCCAAGCGACTGGGGGGAACAAACAAGTCAGGCCTCTGAGCCGGCCCCAGCTGCGCTCTGCCTCACAGACGCCCATACCCACTGACTTCACGCTTACCTCCTCCCCAGACTCCCGCCTCCAGTGCGGCCCAGAGGCCCCGCTGTCCCGGCTGCGCGGCGTCCCCGCGCCCGGCCCGGGAGGACGGAGAAGGGAAGGAGAAAGCGCACGCGCGGCTCCCGGGAACCGGTCCTCGGCCAGCGAAGGGAACCAGGGAGACGAACGTGAAGCGGAAGCCGCCGGCCTCTACGCCAGAATCGAAAAGCCCCGGGCAGGGGAAAGAGACAAAACGAGGAGTCCCGAGAGTCCGAAAAAGCAACGAAAGCACTGCCAGGCCGCTAGAAGGATCGACTCCAAATGCCGCCGGAAGTCAGGGGTTTACCCCAGTCCTCTGCAGCCCTAGCTTCCGGCCGCCAGATTAGTCGTCAGCGAACAGGCACCGCCCCTTTCCTGGACACGCCCCCTTGGACTGCGCGGTGTTGATTTTCCCGGAAGTGGAAATCCTCGACTAGTGGGCGAGTAGGGGAGGTCCCGGGAGGGTTAGCCTGGCGCCCGCAAAGCCGAAGGTCCCAGTTAAGGTGACTTTACGAAGGTGAGCTGGGGGGCTCACTCCTGTTCCTGCTGGATGCTCTCTTCCCGAGGTTGACTTCTGAGGGTCAGCCCAGGCCGGAAAGTCTGTGAGATCCTCATCCAGTTAACCGCCCGGAGGCCGGACGTGGAGCGGGGACCCCGGTGGTACAATGCCAGCCCAGGGACGGAGACAGGCTCGAGTTCGAGCCCCGGGATCGGCACCGAAAGGGGCGTAGGGGGAAGAGGTAACTTTCAAGGGAAAGAGCTTCCCCTTCCTGCAGTGAACCACTGCCTAAAGGGTCGCATTTGCTATTGGGAGGTAACCGGAGCCATTCAGCGTGGTTTACTGAGTGACAAGCAGGGGTTTGCTCGGGGTTTGGCCCAGTTTGAAAATCTGTTGACAGAAATGGATCGAAAGTTTGCAGTCGAAAAATTTAATGTACTTCAGTTCACTTTCCTTATGCTGGGAACTTCATGAAACTAGGTATTAGAATTGCTTCAGCTGGTTAATCAAACATCGCAAATCCAGAGAAAGCCGGTACTTGTCCTCTTACAATTTTTTAAAGCAAAAATAACACATGATACCTTATTTCCCTTAATTTAAAAAATAGCATATGTCTTGATCTCTGATAAATCCAAGGAATAAGAAATCCTTTTTTAACAAAACAACCGATCAAACTTAAAAAGGCAAAAAAATTAGTACCATGACTTGGCCTTATTGGAATCAGGAAATTAATCATATGGGAGCAAAGTGGAACATCCAGGATATTAAACATTCGTGATGACATGCCATGCTATTTTAGAGACAGCTGCCAGAGCTTCTATACAAGTAGGTTTGATGAAACGTTCTGGCAGCAAGAACCCGTATCTGCCTTTATCTCGAAGTTCAATTGTAAATGAGTATTTAATGCCCAAATCATAGATCCAGTCATCAGAACCGCCAGGAGCTAAGTCTAAAAACAGAAGGAAAAGAAGGGAGAAGAAGAAGAAATGTTACTTTTTGTGAAATATAGATATTTCAAATGAACAACATAGGATTTTTTTTGTAAAACTAAAAAGAGCTTTCTTTTGATTGTTAAGTAATGTGTTGCTTGTCTGAGAATTGTGGAGATTGAAAAACCAGGTTAAAGAAGTAAAACAAAAAGCTACCTATAAACTTCACATAGTTTTACCACGAAGTGATAAACTATAACTGTTTTAGCATTGTTTTCAGTGCTTTTATTTTGATTACTTAATGTTTTTACTAAAGTCATACAACACATGGTGTTTTATAACATTTTAAAATGTAATTATTGTAACATTTCCAAAGATAGTACTACTGAGTTCCACTCTACATAATTTTCAATGATCTCACAGCATTGCATTGTAAAGCAATATGTAATTTATTTAATAATTATTTCTTTGGATACTTTTGATTTTTTTCTGTTTTTAGTTAATATAAATAACTTACAATGAGCAGCCTACTAATATAAATAACTTACAATAAGCAGCCTAGTTCATACACAATTATTTGTTTTTTAGAATGAGCACTCTTGTTGATGAATAATTATATTTAAAGGAAGAAATATTAGTATTTCTACACAGGGTCCTGTGCTTGCTAGGCAAGCTTTCTACCATTTGAACCATATGCAAAGCCCAACCTTTCTAAAAGATTTGCTTAAGAGTATGCACAATAAATATGTTCCCAAATAAAGTTCAAAATAATTGAACTAATTTATACCTTCACTAACAAGTATGCCCACTTCCCCCTCCAATAGTAAGTATGTTTTCTGAAATTTTTATAGGTGAGAAAATAATATCTACTTGCCTTAATTTGTATTTCCTTGATTATCAGCAAGTTGGACATTTTTGTTTCATCTATTAGTTACCCAGCTTTATAGTTCTATCAATTATTCTCCTTTGTTTTTTTCCCCAGTCTTGGTGCTTGAATTCAGGGCCTGAGTACTTTCCCTGAGCTTCTTTGTGCTCAAGGCTAGTAGTGCTCTGCCACTTTGAGCCACAGTGCCACTTCTTGTTTTCTGGTGGTTAATTGGAGCTAAAGTCTCATGACTTATTGCCCAGGCTGGCTTCCAACTGTGATCCTCAGATCTCAGCCTCCTGAGTGGCTAGGATTACAGGAGTGAGCCACCAGCCCAGGCTAAACATGGTTCATTTTGCAGATTATTTATAAAACAACAACAATAAAAACATTAATGTTATTAGCATATTCAATATGTGAAGAATTTTTTCTTCAGTTATTTATAGCAGAATTTTTATTTTTAGGGTTATTTTTATTATCTTTAAGTAGTTGTACAGAAGAGTTGCCATTCAATAAAGCAGTTTATGAAAACCAGACATAAAAAGAAATATAAAAATATTTAAAATAATGATTAAATATTTAATTTGATCTTTCTAGATTTATTTTGATGAAAGATTTGATAGTAATTCAATTCTTTTTAGTAACTTGTCAGATTTGCAACCCTGTGAATAGAATAACATTCTTAACTAATTTGAAAGACTTCCTTATGAATGTCAGGTCTTATATACTTAAGTGTCTTTCTGTGCTATACGTATGGATGTACGTATATATGGATATGTATTTGACACAGGGTCTTGCTTTGGAGCTCAGTAGTGAGTCTGGAACTCACTGTGTAGCACTTATTGGCTTCAAACTCATAATCATCCTGCCTTGACCTCCCAAGTCCTGGGATTACAGGCATGCATCATCATGTCCAACCTCATTATTCTCTTGTATTGATTGTCCCTTCCATGCTCAATTCCACACAGTCCTAATTACCATAGCTTCATTGTGCCTGAATATCTCAATGGGAAACAAATCTCTCAGTAGACTTATTTTCAGTATCTTACAAGCTCTCCTGCCAGCTTTATTCTTTTAAATGAACTTCAAAATCATTTAAGTGTTCACTGGAATTGTATTAAATATACAAATTCATTTAAGAAATTCTTTGTATTTTTATTCCACCTAGACACATAAAGCCTTCTGGTTGTTTTTTTTGTTTTGTTTTGTTTTGTTTTGTTTTGGATTGACTCTCTATGCACATAGACAAACATACACTTAACAATGAATCCAGTAGATATTACGTTTGTATGTGCATGTGTATATATATGTGTGTGTTTATACATTATGTAATGGAAGGCCATGAGACCTTTTTCTGTTTTATTTTCTACCTGATTATTTTTAATAAAGAAGAAAGTTCTAGAGTTGTGTTTATTTAGCTCATTGTCAGCCCCCATAGTTAATGATTTCATGGTTACTAACACTTTTGGTTTCCTAAGTAAATAATTATATAACATGTAAAGAATGATCAGGTTTATGTATGTATACTTGAGTTAATTGTGAGATTGTTTACTGAGGCAATGTTTATATTAAAAAACGCCCATTAATAGCAGACTAAACCATTCACTCATTCAACAAATATCTCTGGTAATAATGATCAACATCTGGCATTGATTCCTCTAGACTTTTCCTGTGCTTACACATAAATACATATAGATATGTCCTAGATGAATGGGTAGTAGAGATGGACTGAAATCATCTTAATAAAAGGATGCTCTGTAATTGGATCCCTTCCAGAGGTACTGTAGTTAACGCTTTGGGAGGTAATAATAGGGGAGATGGGCCATGAGAAAGCTCTGAATTGTAAAGGTTAGTTGTGGGGTTCCTCAGTCACAAGGTGAGACCTGTGATAGCAGCGAATGAAGTGACACCAAGGAAAAGAGGTACCATGTGGCAAATTCGGTGGACAATGGGATGGTTATGGAGAAAGGCAGAAGTGGACTTCCTGCTAATAGGGTATTGGTGCTCAAACAATTTATTGAGGTCAATATAATACTATTTGTATACCCTTGTAGAGCATACTTCTTACAGGAAACTCTGGGATTTTGGAGATACTGTCTCAAAGCCTTTTCTCATCCCTTAATATATCTTTATTTGGCAGCTGCTAACCAAGTGGTTCCCCCCAAAATGTGACCTTACCCTGAATAGTAAAAACCATCCTTAGCAGAAAGAACAGTGCTGGAGGAATATTAAAACTAAACTTCAAACTCTACTACAAGGCCATAGTAATAAAAAGGCGGGGAGAGAGGGGGCTTGGTAATGGCACAAGAACAGACCTGAGAACCAAGGGAATAGAACTGAAGATCTCAGAAATGAACCCGCAGACCTATAGCCCTACCTAATCTTTGATAAGGGAGCGGAAAAAAAAAAAAAAAAAAGGAAGAAAGACAGCCTCTTCAATAAACAATGTTGGCAAAATTGGTTAAACACCTGTAGAAAACTAAAGCTAGATCCTTATATGTCACCCTGCACCAGAATCAACTCCAAATGGATCAAAGAGCTTGAAGTCAAAGCAGACACCCTGAAAATATTAGAGAAAGAAATAGGAGAAACTCTAGGGCTCCTCCAGGTCGCAATTTTCTTAATAGAGACCCAGAAAAACAACAACTCAAAGAAAGGTTGGACAAATGGGATTGCATTAAACTGCAGAGTTTCTGCATAGCAAAGGACATAGCTACCAAGATCAATACAAAGTTCACGGATTGGGAGAAGATCTTCACTAGCTATACAACAGACAATGGCCTCATATTTAAAATATACTTAGAACTCAAAAAATTAAATTCTCCAAAAAATCCTCAAGGAAACAACGGCCTACAGGCAGTTTGTTTTTTGGAGAATTTAATTTTTTTGAGTTCTAAATATGTGTGTGTGTGTGTGTACACAAACACATACACACACACACACACACACACACACACACACACACATATAATAGAATTCTATGCTTCCATCAGAAAGAATGACACCGCCTCATTTGTTAGGAAATGTAAAGATGGAAAAAATTATATTAAGTGAAGTAAGCCAGACCCAAAGAAATATAGATCCCATTGTTTATGTAATTTGCAGCAATTAGTATATGTCTAAGATAATTTTATCAGATGAGCAGAAAAGCTCAAAAGCTATGTACATATGACCATATAAGATGATGCTAAGCAAAATGAATCCCAAGATATGGACACAAGAGGTCTTTCTTTGTTGTTGTTGTTTTTAATGTCCTATGTGATTTTTTTGTTTCCTTTATATGTTCTTCTCCCTATGATATATCCCCTATTGTCACTGTATTTGATTTTTTGTGCCCTGCATCTTTTTTTTTTTTTTGGTCCAGTCGTGGAGCCTGAACTCTGGGCCTGGGCACTGTCCCTCAGCTCTTCAGCTCAAGGCTAGTACTCTACCACTTGAGCCAAAGCGCCACTTCCAGCTTTTTTCTTTTTGCTTATGTGGTGCTGAGGAATCGAACCCAGGGCCTCATGCATGCAAGGCAAGCGCTCTACCACTGAGCCACCTTCTCAGCCCCATTTTTATTTTTATTTTTATTTTTGCCAATCTTGGGTCTTGAACTCAGGGCTTGAGTTCCCTGAGCTTCTTTTGCTCAAGGCTACCACTCTACCACATGAGCCACAGGCATGCCTTGAGGCTTTTCTGTTTCTATGGTACTGAGGAATGGAACCCAGGGCTTCATGCATGCTAGGCAAGCGCAATACCACTAAGCTACATTTCCAGCTCCCTGCATCTTGTATATACACATTTACCTAATTTGTGAAGGGGAAGGAGAATAACAAAATGCTGAAACAAGGACACAGGATGACCCATTGCAACAACGATACTCACAAGACACTATGTTGGAAATGAACTTTACAACTGGGGGGGGGGGGTGTCGGAGAAATGGGGAAAGAGGAGGAGGGAAGGGATAGTAGGAGAAAAACAAAGGAGGGAGTAACAACACTTGACAAGAAATGTACTCATTACTATTGTAACTGTAACCCCTCTGTACAGCATCTTTACAATAAAATAAAATTTTTAAAACATGTGACCTCACAAATAGACTTTTCCCAAACCACTTTAGCTAAATACTTTCTCTCAAATGTAGTTATTCTCAAACCTATCAGTCTATTTCATTTTCTTTAAAGCACTTGATGAAATCATACTATATTTGTTTCCATCAGAAGTTGGCAACCTGTCTGGAATGGACAGGGTAGTATATATTTTAGGTTTTGTGAACCATATGGTCTCTGATAACATGACTTGACTCTGCTATCAGGAAAACTATTATACAAAATATTTAAGTGAAAGAGCATGGCTGTATTCCAATAAAATATAATTTATGTAAATAAATACAAATTTCTTATCAGTTTTCATGTGTCAAAATTTTAACTCTTGCTTTTTTTTTCGACCACTGAAGTTATGGGAAACCATTCTTGGTGCAAGCCATTCTTAGCAGTAGGTTGAATTTAGCTTATGATTTGCTGGCAGCTGGCTGCATGTTTATTTTCTGTTCCACTTATCCCATCTGCTCTTCAGCTTCATAAGAAAAAAATCATGTGCTAGACATGAAGGCTCAAACTTGTAATCCCTGCTATTCAAAAGGCAGGGATGAGGAGGATCATAGTTCCAAGGCCAACCAATGCAAAAAGTTAGCAAGACCCCATCTCAATCAATAAAACAATGTGGTGGTACATATTTCATATCTCAGCTATATTGGAATTATAAACAGGAGGATCATGATAAAGGTCAGTCTAGGCATAACTGTGAAATCCTATAGGAAAAATAATGATAGCAAAAAGGTATGGAGGTCATTGCTTAAGTGGTTTTAAAAAAAGTGTAATTCCCTGAGCTCAAAACCAGGTACTGCCAAAAAAACTAAAAAGGCTGGGCTAGGAAGGTGGCTCAGTGATAAGAGTGCTTGCCTCCCATGCATGAGGTCCTGGGTTCAATTCCTCAGCACCAGATAAACAGAAAAGGCCGGAAGTGGCACTGTGGCTCAAGTGGTAGAGTGCTAGCCTTGAGCTGAATAGCTGAGGGACAGTGCCCAGGTCCAGATTTCAAGCCCCATGACTGAAAAAAAGCTAAATCATTATCTGTTATCCCATTATGGAGTCTTTCAATAAACATCTTCCAGCAGAAATTAATTTAAAAAATTGCCATACACAAGCTCTAATCAGTGTGATATACACAAAAGACATCCAACTGCAATGTGTTTTAAGCTATACTGTAGGCAATAGGATATTACACAAAAGCATCTAAGATAAATGGCAAGACCTATATTGGTGTAATGTACAGCATGCACAACCTTTACATGATGACCCTCAACATCTTAAATACTCTTTTAACCCTATATGACCTTTCTCCTTTGCAAGCATGGTTTCAATTCTATGCTCTATAGTGAGGAGCTAAGTTTTTAAATAGCACTTTAGTTTCCTTTAGTGTACAGCATTCATTAGTACAGTTTTTTTTCAGAACTGTCACAGCTATTATGCTTTGTGTTTCTGATTTTTATAATGCAATTACTTTACCTATGACTTTGTTTAAAAATAATTGGGATCTAGTGGCTCATGTCTATAATCCTAGCTATTCAGGAGGCTGAGATCTGAGGATCGCCATTCAAAGCCAGCTCAGACAGGAAAGTCCTGGAAACTTATCTGATCAGCCACCAAAAAGCCAGAAATGGATCTATGACTTAAGGGTAGAATGTTAACCTTGAGTAAAAAAGCTAAAGGACAGCACCTAGACCATATGTTCAAGCCCCAGGCACAAGAAAAGAAAAAAGAAAAAAAGAGGAAATGTTATAGCTACACAGAAAATTTGAAGAGAGATTTCTTTAGTACATCACAGGTTTTCAAGATCTCAAGAAGAAATGCCGGACTTGGGCTGTAGCTCAGGATTAGTCAACTTTCCTAGATGCTCAGGGCTCTGGCTTCAATCCTCAGCAAAAGAAGAGGAAGAGAAAGGAAAGATGAAAAAAGGAGGAGGAGGAAAAGAAGAAGAAAATGAAGGAAGAACAAGAGAAGATGAAGAAGAAAGAAGGAAGAGAGGAAAAGGAGGGAAAAAAATACTCACATAAAGTCTCTGCACCCCTGCCGTGTGTATACTTGATATTTTTATTAATAGTCTCAATAGCACGAACTGCTTCACTGGCCACTAGAGACTGGAAGCAATAGCATGTGACATTTTGGTTAGTGTACAGTATTAAAACAGAAGTAGAAATTTTTAAAAACACAATCATATTAATTGCATTAATAATATAAATGAAAAATCTGTATTCATCCAAAAAATAAATTAAGAATATATTAACTTTAAAATATTTTTCCACTTTATGGCAATCACAATTGGGTGGTGATGAGTTTTTCACATGCTTGAACATTTTAGCTAATTTGCTTAAATTTCCATATAGCTCTTCAAGAATTCATTTACTACATGAATATATAACTATATTTAAAAGGTTTGAATTGTTGCATTCCTGGGTCAAATTAGACTAAAACTTTAAATTCAGCATCACCCATTTATTTGTGACTCCTTATCCTATTTTCTATCTCTCTACCTACCTACCTACCTACCTACCTACCTACCTACCTATATCTATTTAGTGAGTTTGGGATTGAATATAGGAGCTTATCTACCCCTTGAGCCACACCCTAAACCTCCCAGTCTATGTTCTTCATTTGTGAATTGTCTACTAGTTCCCCTAGACTGATATCCCCACTATGAAGCAGCATAGTAACTAAATTCCCTGTTAGTCTGCATTTGGTTCTGACTTAGAAATTTCTGAAATTTCCATATAAGAACTTTTCTGACTTACGATATTCACTATCAACCTTCCAAAAAAGCCAGAGGAATATCTAAATAATAGATAGTAGATATTATTTTGCATCCCTTTTTTGTTGTTCAAAAAGTACATTTTGAGCTGTATGCCAGTGGCTCATGCCTGTAATCCTGGCTACTCAGGAGGCGGAAATCTGAGAAATCAGTGTTTGAAGCCAACCCAGTCAGGAAAGTCCATTAGACTCTTCTCCAATTAACTACCAAAAAGGCTGAAAGTGGAGTTGTGGTAAAGTGCTAGCCTTGAGCAAAAACTCTTGAGGACAGTGCCCAGACCTTGAGGACCAGTTCAATTTTTTCCTTGGTTTTCATTGTTCATGGGGCTTGAACTCAGGGCCTGCTTTTCTGCTCAAGGCTAGCACTCTACCACTTTGAGCCACAGTTCCATTTCTGGTTATGTGGTAGCTAATTAGAGATAAAAGTCTCACCACCTTTCCTCCCTGGGTTGGCTCTGAAACATGATCCTTTAGATCTCAGCCTCCTGAGTAGCTAAAATTACAGGCATGAGCCACCAACACTCAGCTCAAAACTTCTTAAAGTACACTTTTGAGGGATTCTGTTGTCAACAAAATACAATACAAATTTATTTTGACACTCAGAACCCCTTCCTAAGCTGACCTTCTCTACATCCTGTGGTGTTACCTACCACTGTGCACACTCTTAGTCCTTGAACATCCTTCCTATTGGAAAGGCCATCTTCTCTGCATAGAAGGTCCTCCCTTGCCTATAGAAGTCCTCTTCAGTGCCTGTCTGCAATTGTGTCTACTCCTTGATGTCAATAGCACCTTATTATTCTTGCTTCTTTATAGTATGACTCACTTTAATGGGCTATAAAATCCTCAATAGCAAGAGCTACTTTATTCCTTCATTTATCTCAGCATTTCCCTCTGACTGAGTTAAAGGCCCTCCAGTAAACAATGGAGTGGATTCTGCCACTTGTGCAGTATACTTCTTTAGTATCGACCATAACCACCTGAAAGTTCAGCCATCTGTGACATTTGCTTATGGCTCAGATTCTAATTATATGGAATTATTCTAAAGGGTAGGATATTAGCTAATGCTTCTTTGAATGGCTGCTGAATAGTATTTTACAGATAACAACTCTCACTTGCACTGATTGCAATCCGAAATTAAGACAAAATCAGACTAATCCTACTTCCAAATTATGATAAACACACTTTCATTTCTTCAAAGACTAATCCTACTTCCAAATTATGATAAACACACTTTCATTTCTTCAAAGATAATGCCATTATTTCCTTTGAGAAGGAAAAAGATTCTTAAGTATCAAGTATATTTATATTCTAAATGGGCTGTTTTCAAAAATGCAAAATAATCTTATATTTGTCATCAGTAATATTGTTTTATTGTCACCCTTCATGTGGTTACGTTTTATTCTGTTAAGAGAGCTGGGGATTAGGGTGAACAATAAGAATCTGCTACTATATACCATGGAAAGATCTAGGATGGAAACTTGACTAAACATATCTACCATCCATCAAACATGATTTCATCCTTTGCAATTAACCCAAACACAAAGCATCTGGGACCAAAGAATAGATCATGTAGGTCCTCTCAGATTTACCTGTATTGTCCATTACATATCCATTTCCCTCCCTCCCCCACACACAAAGGCTTGTGTCAGTTCAGATAGGCGAGTTTCTTTAATAGCACCAGACCCTTGGTACATAAACAGTTCTCACTGCTGATACCAAATGATTAGTATATCTGGGACTTAATCTATAGTATGGTTTCATAGTATGCAGTCCTATGAAACTATTGGCTCCTTGTTCTTATGGCTTGATAGGAAGATTAGGTCAAGTGGAATAGTTCCCTGTGGCCATTCAAGGAGTTTGTCTGACATTTTCTTAGGGAAACCATCTGCTTGGAATGAAGTTGATATTCTCAGGATGAGGCCCATTTTTATAGCTAGATGGTGATGTAAAACATTTTCCCTTTTGTCTTCTAAACAGGATTCCGCCAAACATATACATGCATGCGCCCACACACAGTTTTTTTAAATATTCACTTAAGTTTTGTTAGTGGCTGAAATTGTAAAGAAAAAAAAATAAGACTGACCAGTTCCTCATGGTCTTTGCTTTTGCTGCTGCTGTAGGAATAGGGAAACAATATCTGCTGCGAGTATGAATGCATGCTGATATAAGCTTTAATGTGGTTGATGTTTGTTCTCAAGAAATCAGCCACTGCCTTTACTTCCGGCTCAGATTCAGGATAAAGTCCACAGTAGGTTTCAGAGCATGAGAAACTTGATGCACCTTTTTCTGTGATGGAAAGAACATAAAGTTAGGCCAGGCATCAGTGACTCATGCCTTAATCCTAGCTACTCAGGAGGCTGAGATCAGAGGATTGAGTTTTGAAGCTAGCCTGGCTAGGAAACTCTATGAAACTCCACAATTAACTATCAAACAAACAAACAAGAAGTAGTGGAGCTCTGGCTCAAGTAAAAGAGGACTAGCCTCAAGCAAAAAAAAAAGTTCAAAGAAGCTCAAAAAAGCTCAGCATCCAGACCCTGAGTTCAAGCCCCAGGATTGGTACACACACACACACACACACACACACACACACACACACACACACACACACACACACACACACACACACACCCATGGGGTTATAAGAGATCATGCACTGAACTGAAATTTGTATCTTCTCTGACAATGTATTCTCTTTCTGTCTATAGTGCAGCATTGATTAATGTTTCAAAAAGATAGCTCACCCATTTAGATGAATGGCTTGGGGCAGACTTGGTAAAGAACATGTTTTTAAGGTCCGGCAAGTGTTTGTTTCTTTTGAATGTTTGTTAAATATGTATATACCTACATAGCAGATCTTCTACAATCATCAGTCCTGTCTCCCTTGCTGCCTGGAGGCAGCCCCACTTGCAACCTTGAAAAAGCAACCAAGAAAGTCCCAGAGGTGTCAGCTCTGCTTCTAAACTTCTGGTTATACGAGGAAAAAATGAATCATATTTCTTTTAATCACTGTAAATTTGGATATACATGCAGTTTAAAAATGTTAATGAGTGTAGTTCATAAAAGAAGATCTTCAAAGTAGCAATGGAGGCAGGCTTGAGTCCCCAAGAGAGAATCTAGTGTAATGGATTATAATGATGAGCAATACTGACTGCCTACTTTGAGCATAGTAGCGTGAGTTAGTAAATAAAACAGGATGTTAAAGTTCTTGCCAAAGTAACATTTACTCATTCACTTGAGAGATTATAATATGCATCACTTCAGATGGTAGCTTGACTTCTGAAATGTTTCCCTCTGTCCCTAATTCATTAGTGTAGAGCCTACAACTCCCATCTGACCCAAGCCATGTGTGCTTGTATTAAAAAAATTGATATGTGTGTGTGTGTGTGTGTGTGTGTGTGTGTGTGTGTGTGTGTGTGTGTGTGTATTCAGAGACAAAGAGGATCTAATTATTCAATTTAGTTCTGTTGTATTGGGAGATATAATGTTGGGATGGGGAGAAAAAGCATGAACTAACACCTCTCTCCCTGGAGGCAAACTATTCTCAAATCAGTATTCACTGACTAATTTAACTCCTTCAAATCAAAATGATAAATTGTCACTGGGCTTACTTTTTTATTATTTTTGACAGTTTCATTATTTTACTCTTTTATTCATATTGCTCATGATAGGAACTTGTTAAGAAGGTGAATGATGAAGCAAAAAATGGTTTAACACTACAGGAGTAAGTACATGTATGAATTAAAACAGAAGGTTTTCTATCCTGGGTCTTTGATATCCTCATGGTGAATGTTTTATGTATTTGTTAGACAGTGTGCTGTTATTAGGCATGTTCTTATAGAATTTCTGACTTTTGAAACTAGAAGGGACCTTGAAGAACAGATCCAACTTCCCCATTTTAAAGATGAGGAAAGAGTAAGGAGGAGAGATTAATGCTTTGACCACTCTAGCTAACTTCTGTGACATTGCGTTTACTCCAAGTATTTGTTTTATGCCCAAATTCAGATAGAGTCTCCCTGTAGTTAGAATTCATAGCCTTTGCTCAGCTTCTGAACAAAAAGGCATTATTGGAAATAAAGCAAACAACCTACCACACCAATGTTTGGAAGCAAAATTCCTGTTCAAATCTGTTCCAACGCAGGGATTGTTCTTGTGGAAAGACCGGTTCTTTCTCCACATTCGATTCTAAATGAGCAAGACAGGAACAGATGAGCCAGGTGGCCATGTCTGCAGCTCAAAGAAGGATCTAACTTTTAACATCCAAGAGGCCGGGTTGGGTCTCCATCCTGTAGGCCTCCTCCTCTACCCTATCATCCTGGTACTGTCTGCAACATTCCTTTCCCATAGCCCAGATTCCACTTGTGTTTCTCAGACTACTTTTGAGCCAACCAAATTGGTAATATTTGATGGATTTGAATCTATACAAATAAAAAACTGTCGCTGGTTCCAGTAGACTATTTATTGACCATCTTAATTGGTCTTTTTAAAAAATTAATTTTACTCACAGGCTCATTTGGAGCTCCTTCAAGAAAAGTCAAACAGCTTTGTGTTGGAACTCAGAACTATAAGGCATGAATTTTTTGGTGTTTTTTTTTCTAATCCATTTTTTGAGATGTATCCAGAAATATTTATATTAATGAATTGATGCTACGATGTCTGGGTATGGTAGATACTTCAAAATACTATGGGAATGGTAGAAATGGTTTGGAGGCACAAATGACATAAGATTGGTCATGACTTGCGCTCTGGTTTAGCTCTTAAATATCCCCTAGAAACCCATGTGCCACTGGCTTGGCCACTAGTCTGAGGTACTACTGGTTGTGGTTGGTGAGGTCTAGCTAAAGGAATCGATGTCATTTTGTGCATTCCGTGGAGGGTTATATTGGGACCCCGCCCCCTCCTACTTTCTCACTGGAAGCTTCCCAGCCAAGAGATAAGTATCTTTTTATTCCCCCTGGGGCTTGAACTCTAGGCCTGGGCTCTTCAGTTCACTTTAACCACTTCTGGTTTTCTGGTGGTTAATTGGAGATAAGAGTCTCACAGACTTTCCTGCCTGGGATGGCTTTGAACTATGATCCTCAATCCTCAAATCTCAGCCTCCTGAGTAGCTAGGATTACAGGCATGAGCCACCAGTGCCCAGCTGAGATGAGCATCTTTGTGACACTATGTGTTCCTACCACATACCTTTCTTCTTTGTAAGTTTTCACCTCAGGTATTTTGTCACACTGATGGAAAGCTCACTAATATAATTTGATAATCATTGAGGCTGTGTGATGTGTACACAGGATGTTACTATATAATATCTACTTTTATATATGTCTGAAATGTGCCATAATAGATAGTTTTTTTTCAGAAGGCCATTTTACCAAGATCCAGGATTATGGATATTGATGCTATACATCTTATATCTTCAATAAGGGCATGTTTTGTTTTCTGGCCTTCACCTACCTTTTTCCATGTGTAGTCATAACCATCCACATTAATTACTGGCATTACATAGAAGTCCACATGCCTCAGGATATTGGTGTACAGACTTTCTTTTTCATAGAATTGAGTTACCTAGGAGTTAAGTCAAGTATGTTTAATAATATCTCATTTAAGCCCTTCTAAAATATTCTTTTTTAAAAAACATCTTGTTCCCTTTTTAAGTCATTTGGCATCTCCCAATTTGCAGATAAAAATTTCAGGAAGACCATTGCTTTCTTTTTTTTTGGTCCAGTCGTGGGGCCTGAACTCTGGGCCTGGGCGCTGTCCCTCAGCTCTTCAGCTAAAGTCTAGCGCTCTACCACTTGAGCCACAACACCACTTCTGGCTTTTTTCTTTTTGCTTATGTGGTGCTGAGGAATCGAACCCAGGGTCTCATGCATGCAAGGCAAGCACTCTACCGCTGAGCCAACTTCCCAGCCCAACCATTGCTTTCTTAAAAGGACTGAAGTTAGGGCATTCTGCTGCTAAGCAGTATAAGTGCCTTTCATGTGGTACAGACTTAATGAAGGCAGAAAATAAAGCCACACATTTCTGAATTGTCCTTTAAAAAACAAAATGAATTATTTATTAAGGAAACAAGTCTATTTTTAGCTCCTTTTTCAGTAATTTGTTTCAATCAAAATTTATATCTACTTAAGCCCCATACTTAATTAGATAGTATTTCTATTTGTGGCAACATCACTATTTTTTTTTTGGTCATGGGACTTGAACTCTGGTCTTGGGTGCTGTCCCACAGCTCTTCAGCTCAAGGCTAGCGCTCTACCACTTGATCCACAGCACCACTTCCAGTTTTCTGGTGGTTAATTAGAGTTAAGAGTCTCAAGGACTTTCCTGCCCAGGCTGGCTTTGAACTGTGATCCTCAGATCTCAGCCTCCTGAGTAGCTAGGATTATAGGCATGAGCCACCGGCACCTGGCTACATGACTACATTTTGATTAATAGATTCATTTCTTTTTTTTCAAATGAAAAGACATTCTATTTTCATGGATTGGTGGAAATAATGTTGTCAAATAGCCTATGCTACCTAAGATTTGAATGTTTTTTTGCAACCCCACCAAAATTCAATCATTCTATTTTACAAAAATAGAAAAACAATCTCCTTCTTTCCCTCCCTCCCTCCCTCCCTCCCTTCCTGCTTTCCTTCCCTCCCTCCCTTCCTCCCTCCCTTCTTCCTTCCTTCCTTCTTTCCTTCCTTCCTTCCTTCTTTCCTTCCTTCCTTCCTTCCTTCCCTTTTTGGATTCATTTCTAATTGTTTGTTGCCTTAAGTTTTGCTCAAAATCACTTACATAGCCTATGAGCCACAGACAGAAAGCAGGAGAGATCCATTCTCGGGCATGGATTCCACAGTCAATCCATATGGCATTTTTGGCTTTTTGTTCTTTTCCAGAAACCTACATAAATAAAAACCATAACTCATCAATCACAGTAAGTCTTGGGATAATAAGTTTCCTTCAGATGGTACTTACATTTACTCTTTTTTCAGATATGTAGCATATGTCTTGTTCTCTATATTCATTTGGGAATTCTGAACAATAACTTAAAAGCTGGTGAGATTAAGGGACACTGGTTTAGGTCATACTGTTGGTGTGAGTTGGGACTAATGTGTGAGATCAGTGCTTTTCACTTGAAGTTCTTTTTGTCACCACCCTCTGTAATTACCTAAACACACAGCTGTGGGTGGCAGTATAAAAGCAGAAGTTCGAGAGCTAATGCTTCAAATATAACTTCATACCTTAGTTTCAGGTAAATAGGTGAGTGTTGAATAGCATCCTGGTAGGAGTAGACAGACACACACCAGGGACAAAAGTCCTTCTCCTTTCCCTAGAATGCACACATTTTGCATGCAGGCTGTTTCTCCTCACAAACAAACTTACACATCTCATTTCACACAAACAGACCATCAGATGAAGAGACAGACACTTTGTTGTGCATCATGATATGTCTGGCTACCACAAGGTGTTCATTCTCAATGGTAGCCTTTGATGTCTTTACAGGACAAATTGATCATAATTTATTTAATCACAATTTTAGATCATGAGAGGAAGGAAGGAGAATTATAAAGTGAAACAAATATGTAGAGTTTTCAAAACAAGCGTTAAATATTACCATTGACACCATTCCAGGAGGTTCCTTCCCTCCAATATGGAGCTAGCAACAAGGAAGTCAAATGGCCACCCATAGCCACATTGTACAATCAAAGAGAACCTAGATGATTGGATCTACTCAATGTCAAGAAAATTCTGAGTCATCTAGATCAGTTGTCTTGCTTGTTATTTTAAACAGTTGGCTCTGATTTTGACAGTATGGAGAAACTCCATAGACATTATTATTATTTTTGAGGGGGGGGGGGTCCGGTCGTGGGGCCTGAACTCTAGGCCTGGGCACTGTCCTTCAACTCTTCAGCTCAAAGCTAGCGCTCTACCACTTGAGCCACAGCACCACTTCAGGCTTTTTTCTTTTTGCTTATGTGGTGCTGAGGGTTTCATGCATGCAAGGCAAGCACTCTACCACTGAGCCACCTTCCCAGCCCATCCATAGACATTATTTTTACATCCTCTGTCAAGTAAAAGTAGAACCTACAAGCATCCCGATGCACGCTTTTCCAATATGTACATTTCAAGAGGTGCATATAACATAGCTGAAGTAAATGTCACAGGCGGGTGCAACGATTCACAGATCTAATCTGGTTATTCAGCCCACCCAATAAGAGGACCGGACATTTCACATGCCAGCCTTAACTCTGCAAGTTCTTGTCCATGGCAGATCAAAAGTGAAAAATTCTAATGCTGCCAAAGATAAGAGAGACTCACGTATCATAATTTTGTGTAGATTCTGTCACTAAACCAAATGCATTTTTCCAATGATGCCATTTTTCAAAGATTGTATTTATTTAAGGGAGAGAGTGATAGAAATCAGAACTACAAAATTAGAAGCTGTAACAGGCAGGAAGTCTTACCAACATGGCTACAATTTTTCCAGATGCTATGTATACTACCTTTACTAAGGTCAATTGATTAAAGAAAGAAAACATCCTATCTAAGGGAAGGCAGGTTGAGAGATTCTCTTCTATAAGATTTTGCAACTGAAATGGCCACAGGGAAAGTGAGCAGAGCAGGAGACATGATGTGAGCCCCACTACAAAGAACTCCAAAGAACCCTTTCCTACATTTGGTTGTTTGGTTCTTACCTTAGTTTCAAAAGCAACACTATCTTTGTCTAGTAATATCTTACTTTCTTTCAACTTCTCTCCATTTTTCCCATCTTCTTCTTTCTCTATATATCTTCCTGTATCTGTCTGTCTCTGTCTCTGTCTCTTTCTTTGCCTCTGTCTTTCTCTTTCTTTCTGTGGTAGTGATGTAAATAAAACAAGGACTTGAAAAATAATCCAGACCACTTCCTTCATTTAGTCAGTGTTCATACCCATGGGAAGGTAAATGGCTTGTGTAACATCACACAAAAACACACAGAGCTGATTCTACCAACAGAACTGCTGCTCCTCCTCTTCTTCCTCCTCTTCCTCCTCCTCTTCTTCCTCCTTTTGGTGTTTCAAGACCATCTGTATCCTGGACCAGCTTCAAACTCTCAGTCTTCCTACTTCAGCCTCCAAGTTGCTGGGATTATAGACATGAACCACCATACCCAGCTATAACTGGGAATTCCATTCTTAGTCTATCACTTCATGATTTAAGGGGGAAAATGAAAGGTAATAATAAATCTCTAAATAGCTAGCTATTAAGGTTGAGGAATACCTGGAATACAGATACTTCTAGAGCACAAAGAAAATAAGATTCAACGTATAACAAACTCTGTTGGAGAATTGATCCCCCTTTAAGGTGAAAGGTCGAAGAAGACTGTCCTCACAACATACCTTTAAAACATACAGTGGGTGTTTTTCATAAGAGGATCCAATGTGGATTTTTGTAAGCATGTCAGGGTACTGTGCAGTCATGCTTTCTATCCAAGAATAGATCTATCCAAACAGAAACCAGAAGTTAGTAGCAGTACAGGTGCAGAAGATGTTCTGACCAAAGGAAGCAGACAACTTCCTTAGAGAAAGGAGATTCTTCTAAAACCTTTGTATTGGTCGGCAAATATATTTGTTTCAGCACAGTACACATTCTATGGCATTTTGTCAAAGAATCTCTATTAAGCAAATATAGTCATATACTTGTGTTTTCCTCCTGTGTCAATTCAACTTTTTCTTAAGGCTGTGCTAAAGAAAATTAACTTTAAAAAAACAAAATAATTAAAATCTACGTTGGAAAAACACTTTAAAATACTGTGTTTAAAACATTTCCCTCTCCCTACCAACCTTCACATAGCGGTGTCATATTCCTCTTCATTTTGCCAACCACCTACTTAGCCTCTCCAGCAGCAAGCTTGTACAGTGTTGTTGGTGATTAATGGTGATGAATGGCTTATGTGGAATAAAAAGGGTAGGGAAGGCAAAAGTGTGTTTGTTTTGGTGCTAGTAATACAAGTTGAACTCAGGGTCTATGTGCTGTTGCTCAAGGTTAGTGCTCTACCACTTGAGCCACAGCACCACTTCTGGCTTTATACTGATTCGTTGGAGATAAGAGTCTCACAGACTTTCCTGCTTGGGCTGGCTTCGAACTGTGATTCTCAGATCTCAGCCTCCTGAGTAGATAGGATTATAGGCATGGGCCACCAGGGTCCAGCAGTTGTGGTTTTCAGGCCTCCATCACTCAGCCAAGCACATAGTTGCTAGAAAAAAGCACACTGTGTTCTGGTTTAACTCACTGGAAGGTATCAGATATTTTTAAAGATTAAGTATAAAATCAGTGTCTCAGGCCTGTAATCAACCTACACAAGAAGCCCAGATCTGAGAATCACACATCCAAGCCAACCCAAGGAAGAAAGTCTTCGAGATTCTTATCTCTAATTAACCACCAAAAAATCTGGAAGTGGAGCTGTGGCTCAAAGGATAGAGTACTGGCCTCAAGTAAAAATGCTGATAGACAAACACCCAGGTGATGAATTCAAACCCCAGGAACTGGCACACATTAGATAGATAGATAGATAGATAGATAGATAGATAGATAGATAGATAGATAGATAGATAGATAGATAGATAATTTAGGCATTCACATGCAGTGAGACCAGAGGACAAGACTGAGGGGAAGAACAAAAGGTTCAATGCCTCTATATGCCTCTGGTCACAAAAAAAATTATTGAAATGAAAAAAAATAAAATTGTTATTTCCTAAATCCTACATGTCATAAAGGCATGAATGTTGTCTCTAATAGTTTCTTGGTACCTAGTCAAAGATAATTTTAAAATATAGGCAAGATAGTGCCATACTCCTAAGAAAGAACAGAATTCATCAAGATGTTTTAACTACTGGGGTTTACTGTATAAAAGAAAAAGTTTCCTGAGGGATTTACTCTTTGACTAATAAATATGAGGAAATGGTTCTTTGTGTACTGTGTAAAATCCAAAGCTGAGGGCAATCAAATATCAGCAACATACTAGATTTCCTCTAGAAAAAAAAAACTGGAGCGTATAAATATGAATAGAAAATAACCCTGTTGCTCGGCACCAGTTGCTCATGCCTGTAATCCTAGCTACTCAGGGGGCTGAGAATTGAGGATCGAGGTTCAAAGCCAGACGAGGATGAAAAGTCCATGAGGCTCTTCCCCTCCTCCCCCTCATGAGACTCTTATCTCCAATTAACCACCAGAAAACCAGAAGTGGCACCATGGATCAATCAGTAAAGCACTTGCCTTGAGTTGAAGGGCTAAGAGACAGCACCCAAGCCCAGTGTATAAGCCCCACAACTGACAAAAAACCTCAAAACAAACAAACAAAAAACAATGCTGTTTCTTAAAGGTTAAAACACAGTTATCATCATCATCATCATTACTTTGGTCGTTTAAAAATGTTCCCTTTTTGGAGAATTGAATGCACTTATTTGTAGTGTATTAAATATAACAACATATTGCTTTAATTCAGTGACATAGTCTAGCAATTATTCAGTAAGAGTAAAATTAGGATAATGATCCAAGGAGACACATACAATTGAGCTGGTAATTTTTTGTGCAGCAGTTTCAATGAAAAGATCCTATTCTTTATTTTCTATTGTTCCCTAGAATGTGGTGTGGCTTCCAGATGCTTGAGGTACTCTTGGACTTGGATAGACAATCTGTTTAGAGGCCATTTACCAAATATGACACAACTTATCCCAGGCAAGAGATCTACAACAGGATGAATAGCCATCTTATCATCAACCTAAGTGTGATTCTTCTTTCTAAACACCCTCCACCAATTATGATCCTGGAATAATGTCTAGTGGTTGAAAGAGCCATGCTAGCTAAGTGAAAACAGTCACATTGGAGCCCCAAGGCAGTGACTTACTTCACTTAGTGAGTGATAGTGTTCATAGTATAACGAGGAGGCCCGGGGACTGATCGTGTCGTTGGAGGTCTGCTGTCGTATAACATCTTCTACATCTTCCATCAAGATGCTAGGTGATGAAACAGAGAGATAATTGGTTTCCAGGCCAAGCACTGACTTCCCCACATGGCCCACTGCAGATACAACAAGTGATCTTGGGGTTAACGTCCCTAACACCGCTGAAGTAAAATACGACTCCACTCTGTGACAAGCTGAATTCATAAACCTTTTCAGAGAAGCTAAGTGGGCCCTGGAGAGAAGGCAGTGTCTATGAGGAATGGTTCCTGGACCACCCATCCTTCCCCTTCCCTAACAACATCTACATATCTTGTGAGATTTAGGATGTTTTACACGAACACAGGGATGAATGGATACCTTGCTTTAATGCAGAGCATAGCTCATTATTCTGCTTCCAGTTAAGGATTCAGGAGACACAGAAAGCTTTCTCCTTTTGCTTTTCATCAACCTACACCATATGATTTGCTGTGCCAAGGATAATCAAATCTCATGTAAAATAGAATTACAGACAGAAAGAAGATATAAGATGGGAATCTTATTTAAGTGATTAACCTGGGAAACAAAGTTTTAACTGAATAAAGACATTCTCATCACCTTGGATGAACCATTTTAAGTGAATTATAGAATTAACACAAGTTTCTTCACTTTATTGAGGCCAATGTCAAAAGCCAAGTATCATCAAGGTTCGAGTTAGAATTCTAGCTTCACCGCATTTGATCTTGCTGTAAGAAAGTTCCTTATAAAATATGTTGCCCAAATATGCTGGCATATTGGGACAAGGTACCTTACAAGGTTCAGTAAAAACTAAGAAATGTAAAGCCAAGTGACAGTGGTAGACACGGTAATCCTAGCTACCCAGGAGCTTGAAAACAGGAAGATGGCATTTCAAAGCCAGCCTGCAGGAAAGTCCAAGAGGCTTCAAGTCTAGTTAGTCAGCAAAAACCCAGGCTGGAGGTGGAGTGATAGGGTAAGTGACAGCTGTGTGTGAAAAAAGTGAAGCTGGTATCAACACGCACGCACACACACACACACACACACACACACACACACACACACACACACACACCACAAATGTTAAGGAATGCAATTGTAGATTAACTTGGCATAGTTTCTAGAAGGCAGTAAACACCTATAATATGTCATTGATAGTTATTCTAGCATGTTATCCAGAGGTTGCATTGGCCTTAAGAAGTTAGGGCAGGGCTGGGAAGGTGGCTAGTGGTAGAGCGCTTGCCTTGCATGCTTGAGGCCCTGGGTTCGATTCCTCAGCACAACATAAGCAGAAAAAAAAGCTGGAAGTGGTGCTGTGGCTCAAGTGGTAGAGTGCTAGCCTTGAGCTGAAGATCTGAGGGACAGCACCCAGGCCCAGGGTTCAGGCCCCACAACCGGACCCCCCCACAAAAAAGAAGAAGTTAGGGCAGCAGGAGGATCCCAGCAGTTGGGTGGTGAATAGGGTGAGAAGGCCGTGGACAAGACAAACAGAAGTGTGGAGTCTGAATAGAAGTCACTCCTGATACACTTAGAAAACCTAAAATCATGTAACCCCTATGGTGGGTGTTATTTCATCTCTAATTTACAGAAGTGACATGCAGAGAGGTAGATAATTCCTACAGGACCATATGAGTGGGAAAGTGGCTGTAGCAGACTCCAGCTCAGGTTCTCTGCAGGGTCAGAGCATCTGGTACCTCTTCTGGATCTTCAGAAGTGCTCTATGACTTCGTGAAAGAAGAATTCACAAAGCTAATATTACCCCCTCCCCACCTAGTCCAGCATCATTTGTCAAGAGACCGTGGGATACCTACCATGATGGGTAACAACTTGGATTCTAGGGGTACATACAGAGCAGAGTGCTGACAGAAAGAGGAAGGAGGAGTTGGGCAGGTAATTATTACTTCTGCTAGAGGACTGAAGTTCTGAGAGGTTAACCCACTTGTTACAGAACTGAGTTTATCATCAGTTCATTTCGTCCACACCACCATGTTTCATATTCTTCATTTTTTCAATGAAGCAATTATACCACTTTCTAGTCAGATGCATGGCAGGCATCTATAATAGATATTCATCATATAACATGCAATGCCTACCTGTATGGAATTCTGCTTGAATTCAAGTGGTCTTTCACATTGCTGACATCAGACTCATTCACAAAAAAATGCACTTCTTTTTTCCGCTCAATAAAGTCAGCTGTAACTGGCTGCCAGAGAACAATCTATAGTGGCAGGGAGAAAAAAAAATGGATAAAATAAAAACGGAGCTGCCTTCATCATTCTTATCTATAGCTAGAGTCATAATTTGTCTGGAAAAGGGACTCAAAAAGGCCATTTTTCATATATGATTGGTCTCCATCCTTGCATGTAAAAATATCAAGTTCAATTTGTGGGGGACTCTTTTTGTTCTTTTATGTAACTCTAGCTGGTAAAGAAGATCTACAGCAAACAGGATACTCAAATATTTGATGAGACAATGAATGAATGAATTTATGGATGTATGTATCAGATGTTTAAAAGAAAACATTTTTGTCTAGAAAGAGAGTTGATTAAACATTGATTTTATTTCATAAAATTGCATGTGCTTGATATGTTCAAGTCAGCACTTCTTTCCTTTTTAATTATGGCCTTTGGGCAATGTCTTTCAATAATGTTTACATTTGTCCCACTTTACTATACTTTTCCAAAGCACTTTCACACTAATTTGCTTTCATCATTATAATACCACTTGGACATCAGCCAGGCAGATGTTGTTATTTTCATTGTTCAGATGAAGAATTAAGCTAATTTGTCTAAAATCATATATCAAGTAGCAGCAGAGGAAACATGCTAAATTCCTGATGTTTTCTGTAGTGGTATTTCCTCCTCCTGCTAAGATGGCCTCCAATGCTGGCCTGGCAGGTCACTGAATCTGTCTTTTCAGATAAAAGACTCAAGTCATGAGAGATTAACCCACTCAGCTCTTCTGCTGCCAGGAGCAGAGATAACCAAGGCTTCCAGTGGTCAATGCTGCCAGGGCACGGTATGCTGAGTTGGCTGGCCAGGGCTGTAGCCAGCACTTGCACTGTGAATGTATTTGCCCAGTTTGATTTCTACCAGTTACAGGGTTCTTAGCACAGGGGATTTAGCACTGCTCTGTTATCTCCAGATCCCTCTTGATTGCCAGCAAACACTTTCCTTATTACTTTGTGCTCTAATCTGTTCTGTTTCTCAGAGATCACTAACAAACACAAATCCATCAAGTCTCTACCATGGTCACTTTCTAACTCCTAACAATGTTCTATACCTTAACATACTAACAAGATGGATTTCAGGTATGGAAAATTTAGTCATTGTTACCTTGTGGTTTTGATGTTTATTCCTTTGTTAAGATTCCACTGTTGTTTGTTGTTGTTTATCTGTTTTTTTAATGTTAGTTTTAGGACTTGAACTCACGTTGCTATCCTTTAACTTTTCTGTTCTGGCATTCTACCACTTGAGCCACAGCTCAATTTATGGCCTTTTGGTGATCAATTGGAGATAAGAATCTCATGAACTTTTCTTGCCTAGACTGCCTTTGAACCATGATCCTCAGATCTCAACCTCCTAAGGATCTAGGATTACAGGCATGAGCCACCAGTACCCAACTCAAGATCTACTGATTTGTAAGCAAAATTCAACTGAAACTTTGCTACTCTAGCAGCCTTGTAAGGACATACTGTATAACCACAAAGTACTGTTAGGAAATTACAGCACAAAGGAAGGTTTGATCCCAGGAAGCAACAGCTCTATGGCTGTGGGAATAAGGAAAACCTTTGAAAAGGGGGTTCTTGACAGGCCTCAATGGCTCTCATCTATAATCCTACCTACTCAGTAGGCTGAGATCTGAGGATCATGGTTTGAACCAACCCAGGAAGAAAAGTCCCCAGGAGGCCCTTATCTCCAATTAACCACTCAAAAACTGGAAGTGGCACTGTGGCTCAAGTGGTAGAGCACTAGCCTTGAGCACAAAGAGGCTCAAGGACAGTGCCCAGGTCCCAAGTTCAAGCCGCACAACTGACAAAAAAAGAAAAAGAGGTTCTTTCCAGATACATATAAGACATCCAGCATGTAAGAAGGGACATAGCACACAGTGTTCATACAAAATACAACAAACATGAACATAAAGCGAAGAGAAATTACCTCATAGATTGCAGTAAGATTCTTCAGAACTTGAACTTGCCTAGTGGTTCTAGGAAGAGCAGATAAAACCTGGCCACTAGGAAAAAGATAAAACAGATTTTATTTTTGTTTTTGTTTTTGTTTTTGCCGGTCATGGGGCCTGAACTCTGGGTCTGGGCACTGTCCCTCAGCTTATCAGCTCAAGGCTAGCACTCTACCACTGGAGCCACAACGCCACTTCCAGCTTTTTCTGTTTATGTGGTGCTGAGGAATCGAACCCAGGGCCTCATGCTTGCAAGGCATGCACTCTACCGCTGAGCTACCTTCCCAGCCCGATAAAACAGATTTTAGTAAAACAAAAATATGAAAAAAGCCATACATATATTATACCAAAGGGCCTTTCAGATAATTGTAAGAAGGAAACAAAGTGTAAAATGTTAGGCCTGGGCATGGTTGTTTAGACCTGTAATCCCAATTAGATGGGAATGTGAGATAGAAGGGTTGAGATTCAAGATCAGCCCAGTCAGAAAAGTTAATGAGATCTTATCTCAAAAAAAAGAAAAAAGAAAAAGAAAGAAAGAAATGGGGTTTGGAAGGTGGCTCAGTGGTAGAGCACTTGCCTTGCATGCATGAGGCCTTGGGTTCGATTCCTCAGCACCACATAAGCAGAAAAAGCCGGAAGTGGCACTGTGGCTCAAGAGGTAGGGCGCTAGCCTTGAGCTGAAGAGCTGAGGGACAGCGCCCAGACCCAGAGTTCAGGCCCCACGACCAAATAACTAACTAAATAAATAAACTAATGCAAAAAGATTTGGATTGTGGCTTAAGTGATTGAAAGCCTGCCTAACAAGCGGGGAGCTCTAAGTTCAAACTCTACGATGGCTACCTTCTCCCCACCCCCTCAAAAAATGCTAGACACTGGACCACCACAGCAGTATAAGTCTTCCTTTTTTTTCTTTCTGTTCCTCAGCAATTGCAGAATCAAAAGCTCTCTTGAGTGAGGATGTATGTGTGTGTGTGTGTGTGTGTGTGTGTGTGTGTGTACAAAATCTGACTCAGGGAAGAGGGAATAAAAGGAATCACCTGAGCAGCCTAAATGGACAGCAGGTTTCTGGCCCCATTGTCCTGCTGCTTGCTTTGGGTGGTCTTTGCATTCACTTAGCAATAAAGCTTTCCTTGTTTGACTTTTTGTGATTCCTGACTCTATTTCTGTAACTTCGCCAGAGAACCAGAACCCATGGCTTGTGTATCAGCAAGAGCACAAACTGAGCAAATGGAAGGCCCTGAGTTCAAACTCCAATACTGCTGTCAGTGAGGAAAAGAGGAAGAGGGAATGGGAGAAGGAAAGGAGAGAAGAGAGAAAGTTAAGTATGAATGTCCAGGATATAATGGCAGGAGACCCAAGAGCATGCTGGGAAGATGCCAACTTGTTCATTGTTGCCAAGTACAGGATCTGGGTGTTCAGAGATGAGAAGAATATGGATAAGCAGAAATGAATTTGGCAAATTATGTTAGCCTCTCCTAGATAAAGTTGAGAATTCACGCTAAGAAATTTGGAGTACATACAAAATTAAGAACTAGTAGAGTAAGATCATCGATGGAAGGGTGGTTTTATTTGGAGAAACATGATTAAAGGATTCCAAACCATGGAAACAAGCCTACAGAGACTGGATCATGGAAGACGGAGGAAGTAGCTCATAAAAAACCATATCCTGGGGAATTTTATGCCAGTCCTACTAGACACCATAAACTGTTCAACCACTGCTTAAGGACATATGTTGAAACTTATGGATTATAACATTATTCAGAAAACGGTAACAGGAAAGCTAGGTGAAGGCTTGTAGTAAGAGAGCTGTTAAATCTGGGGTAGTGTCTTCACATCCCAGTATGTTTCACAGTCATAAAGAATGAAGTTGATTTATGGAAGTTCTCTAAGGGGGTGAAGCAAGATGTGTCAAACTGTGAAATCTGATCCTATTCTTGGGGAAATATTAAGAAAAAGAAAAGCTACTTTGTGTTAAGAGTAGGAGAAGGTTATGAATAAAGAACACATTGTTAACACTGATTTGGAAGATGGAAATTGTAATTGAAGGTAAAGGAGGAGGGAGTCAATATGATTTTATTTTCAGTATTGACAACTAGCCCAGGGCCTTGTGTATATATAGCTTTATTTTCTCTTTCTCTCTTTATTTCACTTTCTCTCTTTCCCCCTCCCTCTCTCTTTCTTTCTTTTCCTTCCTTCCTTCTCTCTTTCTTTTCTAATTTACTTAGTTCAAGCCATTGCTTTCTTGAAGCTTCTAAAAATCATCCAGTCAGCATGTTAGTACCATCTCCCAAGGATCAAACTGGAATGTTAAATGTTTTAGCATGGCCAAATTCATCTCATCATTAGGATGTAGTCACTTGGATTAATTCACATGTCTAGCACAGCCAGGCTTTGTTTCAACTTTTGTCAGTTTGGAGGTCAGACGCGAAGTGTCAGTAGATTCTGAGAGGCAACAGTTGGACACACCACTAGAGAATGAGCTCCCTGACAACATCAGGGACAATGAGATCTCTTGACCGTCAGTAGGGCACAATTATTACAATGAACAGCAAGGTTGGAACCGTAGCCAGAGAGAATAATCCCCACAAAGCTGTGGACTTAAGAGAGCACAGAGTTCTCAAGGACAAGATAGATGAATAGCCAGCAAAAGTATTGCTAAATCTTTGCAATCAAAATTAAGTAAGAATGGATAAAGAGAGAGAAGCTGAGGACAGCTTTTCAAATGTCACCATTCATTGCCCAGTGTCTGGAACTGAGTCAGCACTTAGATTGAGAGTTTGTGCTGGAAGTGGTCCTCAGGTAACCACAAGAAAAATCCTATAGCAGTATGAAAAACATCCAAATAGATCATGACTCCTGGAGCCCTTTCTTAGAAACCTGTGGCAATTTACTCCAGTAACTGCACACTGAGGAAGAGAATACTGCACACATTTTGAGCTCTATTGGATCCAGGGATTAAATGGATGTTGATATATTGGGTATCTAGAGCCCAGGAGTAAGTCTAGCTCCGAGTAGGTGCATTGGGTCCACATATCCTTCCATGATTATTTCTCTGGAGCCCAAGTGTATACTTGTAATATATAGTTGGTAGTTGGCCAAACTTCCACATTAGTTCCTTATTTGTTTTTTTTGTTTTTTTGTCGGTCATGGGACTTGAACTCTGGGCCTGGGCGCTGTCCCTCAGCTCTTCAGCTCAAGGCGAGCGCTCTACCACTTGAGCTACAGCGCCACTTCCGGTTTTCTGGTGGTTTATTGGAGATAGGAGTCTCACAGTCTCTCCTGCCCGGGCTGGCTTTGAACCGTGATCCTCAGATCTCAGCCTCCTGAGTAGCTAGGATTACAGGCGTGAGCCACCAGCGCCCGGCCTAGTTCCTTATTTGTAAGGCATAAAGTTATCATAGTTGGAAAACAAACCTAAAGATACACTTTGTGGAGGGGAAAGGAAAAGACAAATTGTTTAAATAGGGATACAGGTGGACCCATTGCAACAATGAGATGTACAAGAAGTTATGTCGAAAACAAACTTTACAACTTTGGCTGGGGGTAGGAGGAGGGGGATGCGGGTGGTGTGGGGGAGACATGGGAAGGGGAAACAAAGGAGAAGGCAACAATGCTTGATAAGAAATGTACTCATTACCTTGCACATGTAATTGTAACCCCTCTGTATGGTATTTCACAATAAAGAAATCTCTGATTGGATAGGAACCCCTATCCAATCCACACTTAATTCACCAGCTCACTGCCATCAATTGCTGTCACTGTACTCAATGCGTTATCTTTGCTAGGATAGGGTTTGTAATATTCAGTTGGCCATCCACATTAAATCAGCATCAGAAATAGTCAATATCAACCAGCAGTAGGGGCTCACACATATAGTTCTAGAAACTCAGGAGGCTGAGTATCCAAGCCAGCCCAGGTAGGAAAGTTCACGAGACTCTTATCTCTAATTAACTACCAAAAGGTTGAAAGTGGAACTATGGCTCAAATGGTACAGCACTATCCTTAAGCACAAAACTCAGGGACAGCCTCCATACCTAGAGTTCAAGCCCAAGGACTGGC